TTCGGAATCAACGTTTTTAACTTGGTGGTTTCACCTGTGTCTGAGTTGTTGCATGAAGAGTGCTATGAAGTGACCGGCTTCGGATGGCACCATTTTTTGGATCTTCAAGAAGCAAAGCTCTGAAAGCTCTCTCGATCATCTGGCTCGATGATACCCCATTGGATCACAACATTGTAGGCCTCCATTGATATATTATATGATCGATTGGGACTCAACCAAGATGAGCAACGCCACCAAAGACTTTCAGAGGCGATCCTCTTCAAACGAATTAGATCCCTTTGCTGGCAACGCGACTGGAGCGTCCCGTGATGTGAGCAGTGTCGGCAAAGACTCGCTAGGAGACAGCAGCCGCAAGTCTCAAGACAGATCACATGGGAGTACTGGTACCAGTATGAGGAGGAAATGGGGTGCGAGGCAAGAACTGGATGAAGATGAGGAGGAGCCAAGAAGTCACGAAATGATTCTTAAATCGATTGCCGAAAGTCATCGTCAGGGCAATGGTGTGTCGTCCCAAACTCAACCTCCAGAGAAGCACAAGAAGATACTTCCATTCCTGCAGCAAAAGCAAGACAGTAATCATTCATCCACGAGGGCGGACGCTCAACGAAAATCTGTCAGTCTGGAGAAGGATTTGTTGGCTGACAGCTCCAGAATGACGCAAGACGAATCGGATGGTACACAAGCCTCCTATCGAAGAGCAAGATTGATCCAAAAGCCCTCGCCAGACTGTGTCCAAAGTCAAGAGTTCATTCTCGAATCCATTGCCGATCACTATCGAAATAGTTCTGCTTCGACTCCCACGTCTCAACGACGGGAACCCACCATCACGACAAAAGCCACCATAGCCAATCGAAGAGACGCAAGCACCGGTCGTGGAGATGATGCAGCGCCTCCACCGTTGCGACTCTCTCGCGCATCTCCCGGTGCGGGCACTACCACGGCTCGTCCAGGGGCGTATGCCACGCCTCCTATTGTGGACACGGCCGAGGAGCAGGGAACTATTGCTGTAAGTATGCCCAATGATGGATCATCAGAGAGGTTTTTGGAGGAACAGCTGGCAACAACAGCAGCATCTTGTGCTGCTGGCACCGACCGTTCTGCCTTGCAGCACACAGAGCAGCAACAGCCGGACGGCAATATTTTATTGGAAGCTACCTTGGTGTCAAACAACGGTCACAACGACGACGAAAACGTCTTTGAAGCACAAGCCATGGATGACGATGCAATTCTCAAGGCATTCTTTGCCACGCCCAAAGGAAAGGTCATGGTCCTATGCTGCCTGCTGATTGTTGTTGGAGCGGTCATTCTTTTGGCGGTCCTCCTGCGAAACAGGGATGAAGGCACTGCCAATCTCCGGAGTGCTCCTACCATGGCTCCATCCTTCCCTACAACAACAACGACGACGACAACGACGCATGCTCCAACCATGGAGCTTTCCTTGTCACTTTTGCCCAACTATACTCAGGAAACTATCCTCAATGACAAACAGTCTCCACAAGCAAAGGCATGGCATTGGTTGCTGCAAGACCCACATCTCCATGAAATCTACCCATTTGAACGAAAGCTGGACCGGTATGCTCTCGCAACTTTTTACTATGCGACTCTTGCTGCAGATCATGACACCGAAACGGATCATTCGTTGGCATCCTGGACCACGGGATGGCTAGACTACAATCTTCATGAATGCAACTGGGGAGACTCGAGCACTACAACCACAAAAAGCACCTCCAAAAGTGCCGCCTGCGAAACTCGTCGTACAACTCTTTCCATCCCGAATGAGAAACTGAATGGTACTCTGCCTCCAGAGTTGTCGCTCTTGGATTCACTCCAGGTCATCAACCTTGCTTCCAATGAGTTGGAAGGGACAATCCCCACACAACTTGCCATGCTCACAGAACTGAATGAGCTGATTCTAGATCAAAATGCATTCACAGGGACCCTGTTTACAGAGCTTGGCATGCTCTCCCGTCTGGTGAACCTTACCCTGAATGATGTTGCAGCATTGTCTGGATCCATCCCAAGTGAATTGGGGTTGGCAACAGCACTTGGAGACTTTCGCGCAGAAAACACTCTGTTGGAAGGAACCTTGCCAAGCGAATTGTCACAACTGACCAACTTGGAACTTCTGGTGACCCGCGGCACTTTGATTGATGGCACGATACCCTCACAGTACGGTCTATTGTCAAATCTTTTATGGTTTGGAGTTGGTGATTCCGCCATGAGTGGAACTCTACCCACGGAGCTGGGCAGCTTGGACAAACTGTACGGCCTGGATGTGGCCGAGAACGAGATGATTCGAGGCCCGATCCCATCCGAGTTGGGGAGATTGAACAAGCTGCATACAGTCCTGTTCTACCTCAGCTCCCTCTCTGGCCAAATACCGTCGCAGTTTGGGATGTTGTCGTCTTTGGTCGAACTACAGATGGCAGGAATGTCTTTGACGGGGACATTGCCATCCGAGCTTTTTCGACTCGCACGACTTGAAGAAGTTGATTTCAGCTACAACAGCATCAGGGGCACCTTGCCCACTCACATTGGAAACTGTCAACTGTTGGAGCAGTTGGAAATGGAACGAAACAAACTGTCCGGAAGCATCCCCACCGAGTTGGGGAGCCTTGGAGGTCTGAAGGTAAGGTTTTGGCTCGTTATGTATCCCCGTTGCTACATGTATTGATCTTGCTAAACATAATATGAACTGGCTCTCCCAACACTGCAGGTACTTGAAATCTTTTCAAACTCCTTCACAGGTCAATTGCCAACAGAGATTGGACAGACCACAAAACTGCAAAGTCTATTGTTGAATGACAATACGCTGAACAGCACCATCCCGTCGGAACTAGGGCGTCTTCACGGTCTCAACGTGCTTCAAATGGCCAATTCCGGGCTCTATGGCTCTGTGCCAACCGACATATTCCTCCCCAATAGTCTGATATCGGTTTCTCTGAACGGGAACGAGTTCTTGACCGGAACTGTGCCGTTGTCATTTTGTGCGTCACATCCCCGCTCCCAAGTGGAAGTCGATTGTGCCAATGTTAACTGCACCTGTTGTGGGTGCACCGATGATAGCTAAGGAGCTTAAAACTGGTTACGGCAAAGCCAAGTCGCTTGGGTTGGCTTGATTCTTGTAGCTTTCCGGTTTACGGTAGGCGCAGGCCATTTGGAGAGGCTGCTAGGTCATATTGCTTGTTGTCCACGACGGTGAGGATGAAGATGGTCAAGGAATGACTGTACCGCTACAAACGCCAGAACTAGAATCCGCCCAAGAACAGAACCAACACCTGCACAGACCCTGGCTCAACTCTACTAGGATCTAACGTTAGCCAATACCTTTGCAACCTGACATAACCACAGTGCTTCTCAGATATTATTCCCAGCTCCAGAAACATCCCATCGAATCAGATTCGAATCCTAACTAGCTTGTGGATTGTGTGCCGTTGGCAGCGCTTGGTAGGATGTTCTACCTTTCTGGACCGTGTTTTTCTGCCCCCAGCTCTTGCAATCGCTTGGTCACTGGATGGTCTGGCCCCAGTGAATCCTCTGCCAGCCACAAAGGACTAATGCCATGATTGGTTTTGGCATTTTGATCCGCGTGATGATTAATTAGAAGATTCACCACGTCCAAATGTCCTCCTCTTACGGCCTCGTGAAGAGGCTGCCATCCGTTGTTGTCCGCCACGGCAAATTGCGCTCTCCCCTCTTCCGTCATGGCCAGACGTTGCAATCTCTGGAGGTTATTGATTTTAGCGGCAATATGAGCCTCTCTGGCCCCTTCACCCTGGAAACGTCTTTGCATTTCGGCATTGATGTTGATGGTATTTCGAGGTTGTGGACGTTGTTGTGCTTGCTGTTGATTTTGTTGCTGTCGAAATTCTTCTTGAGCACCATAGATGTCATGCACAATTTCTCTCAAAATGGCAGGACACATCAAGACTCGTCGGCCTCCTAAAATAGAAGGTACTACTTCCACCAGATAGTAATATAAGTGTCCCACCAGCATTCCATGCAACAACTCGTAGATTGGATTTTGCAAGGCCAAAGCCAGCCCTATATGACAAAAGGGCAGATACTGGCCTTGCACTGGAATAAAGAGGAACATGACGTTGACGTTTGCATTTCGTCGACTCCACAGATAGGTAATGGAGGTCAGTAATGTTCTTGTAAACAGGGGATAGAGGTATCCGTGAACGTAGATAGCTTGGAGCAGATAGGTGATAATGATCACGATGCAGCAAAATAAGAGACAAAAGACGTAATCGGCTCGAGGGCTTCCACTGCCGGCGATGTGGGGGTTCGTTTCGTAGATGGACGATTGCATGGCAATCATATGCAGTGCCCACAGGACATGCAGCTCATGAATCTGTCCGCCCGCATACAAAAAGGAAGTGATACATCTCCAAAGCTCCATTTTCTCAATCACACGTGTCCAATCAAAGATCAAATCTTCGTGAGGCAGCAAGTCCAACGAGGTGGCAGCATTGACCGCCACAGCCAATCCAAACCAAGTGCGAGTAACGGGCGGCAACGACCAGAACCAGCCAATGACATCGGGTAGGCCGTTATTATTGTTGTTGTTGCGGGGTCGTTGTTGTGCTTGTGCTTCTGCCATTGTTCAACTTGCTTACATGTACAGTATGGTAGTCAAGCCTGAAAGACAACTCTAGAGTCACCTTAACTTGGGATATCTTAGATGTGAAGTACTCGTAGCTTCCTCGTTTGGCTTCCAAAGTGAGGAAGAGTGAGCCTTGTGGCGAAAGATTTTGGCGTGGGTTAGAGTTAACCATTTCCGTGAACAAGAGATCAATCTCATTTTCCCGCCTCTGCACGCAGCCGCCTTTGGAACCCGCCCTTTTTGTTGACACAAACCCAATACACCAAGCATTGAACTAAGACTACTTCCACCACACCTCCCAGTAAATTAAGGACAACAAAAGGAACGTCCACCTGTAGCACATCCTCAGCCGAAGAGAGAAACAAAGCCAACAATGAAAGTAGAAACTCCACAAATCCTGTGGAATTCTGAACAGAAGAAAATCAATGCTGCCTTGAATTCTATTTCGATGTTGGAGAGTGGCTTGTCAGATGATCATGGCGACAACAATGCTGTGGAGCGAAAGTATGGCAATGTGTTGGTCACGGCTGGGAATGGCAACATAATCAATCTATGGAAACTGTGCTTTGCCTCTTCTTCTTCCACAAACAACGAAAACACTTCCTCTGCCACTTCTTCTCCTTCTGACGACACTTTTTCCAAACAAAGCACCAAGATTGAGTATCTGTGCAGCCTGACACGACAAGAGCTGTCTGTCAATACAGTTGCCTTTAGTCCAGACGGTTTGCATCTCGCGACAGGAGGAGAATCTGGCTCGATTGTCATTTGGTCTGTCCCTCCCAATAGGCGTGGAAATGGTAATGGCCGCCACCATTGGAGTCTCGTTGAGAACGAAAATGAGTTGAGTGTCAGCATTATTGGTGGACATCGAGGAGGGATTTGCCATATTTCATGGAGTGCCGACTCGAAACGATTCATTGCAGGGACCATTGATCACGCTGTTCTCGTTTACGAAGACAAGAACTACAACAATAATCAAAAAGCTATCAGCGAAAACAAAGTGCCCGAGAAAAGCCAATGGGATTTGGAATACCAAAACTGTATGGACCATACACTCTTTGTCCAGGGGGTTGCCTATGATCCACTGGGGGTATATCTGGCCAGCATGGGAAGTGATCGGGCAGTGCGGATCTTTCCACGCAAGACACCCTCGAAGGCCAAGAAGACGATTCTGAGGCCCTCCAATGATGTTGCTGCAGACTGCTGTCCGCCGGTGGAGCATCAACGATTGGTCAAACAGATACTTGCTGACTCAAAATTAGAACTGGGAAAGTCCAAGCAAATCAAATTCCATCAGCTAACACAGAACAGCAACAACAATGACATGGAACATCAGGACAAGAAACAACAACGTCGCCACTTGTATGCGGATGAAGCCACACACAACTCCTCCTTTCGACGCCTGGCATGGACCACAGATGGAGCCTACTTGGTCACCCCAGCAGCAGTTTGGCATGCTGCCAAGGGAGATTCAGATTCCAATGACAAGAATCAAACTTCCTTTGCTACCTATCTCTTTGCACGGCATCGATTTGATGAACCCTACAAGGTTCTTTATGGGTTGGAAAAAGTAAGCATGAGAAACGTTTTGTCTCGACAATGTAACAATGACATGTCTCCTCACAACGGCTACTTTGCGGTTAGCCTTCGGTGGTAGTTCGACCAAGTCCGGTTCTGTACAAATTGCCAACTTCAGGTGTTGCCACAGAGTCACCCCTTAAGGCCAACTGCAAGGAAAATGCAGCTTGTTTGAGCAGAAACCGTGGCCTGCCCTACCGTAGTGTGTTTGCGGTCTTGACCACTGACAGCATTCTGGTGTACGACACTCACCACACTCGGCCTCTTTCTGTGGTGCGCGGTTTGCACTTTGCCAGCTTCAGCGACTGCGATTGGTCCAATGATGGCACAAAGCTGGTCGTTTCTAGCCTGGATGGATACATTTCCATTATTTCCTTTGAGAATGGTGAATTTGGAGAAGTTTACACACCGGTGGGTGCTTTGGAAGCATCTCCACTGTCGACCTCTCCCGCTACCACCACCAATCCATTGCAAGCTCAGGGCTCCAACATCAAACCCACCGTCCTCATCCAGCAGAGCAGCTTGGAAACTCCCTCGATTCCTCCGTGTGAACACGGACAAAACGTAACCGTAGAGGCACCTCCTTCCAAACGTGCCAAAAAGACACGAATTACTCCCACGCTCATGACTCCCATTGAAGCCACCACCAACAGCACGACCGTGACAACCAGCTTTGCAGCAGCTAGTTCACCAGAAGATACTGGGAGATGTTCGGAGACTGCACCCACTTCTTCCCACACGAAACGATCTGCTGATGACATTTTGGAGCATGAATCTCACACCAAGTTGACGTTGAGCAACGACAAGAAACCCAAAAAGAAGAAACGAATTCAACCTCTACTCGTGTCGGCGGGCAACACATAAGTGTTCTCTTGATTGGGCTCTCTACTTCTCACATAAGTGTTCTCTTGATTGGGCTCTCTACTTCTCGAGGTGGGTGGGTTGGTGATCCTAGTATCTTGTAGCTGCTACTGGTAGTGACTCCTTGTTTGTGTGTATGGATTGGGCACCAGGCGCTAGCTAGTATGCATATGTGATACCATCAGAAAATTGAAATCAGCAGAGGCATTGTCCTATTGCATTTCCTGCAAGCAATCCATTTCTAAGCTACCTCGGAGTTCACCATACTAGCTACATGTAGCCACATTAGTAGACAGGAGTTGAGTACAATACTATCCTTTCCAATAGTGCGTTGGTGAACCAGAAATTACCCTCCTGGCTGGTGGACCCTCTCCCAGACATATCCATTGCCCACTTTCTTGAAACACACCAGACATGCTCCTCGACCCACTCCTGGTTCAACACTCAAACCAACTCCTGCTCCCATTACATTCACAACCAGTCCATTCCTGGACCAACTACGACTGTACCGTACCGATGGTCATCAACAAAAAATGTGCCCGAGCCAAGCCTCGACCTACTTTTCCGTTAAAACGTCTTGTTTCGCAAGACTCAACGCAGAATCCTTATTTCTGACATCGGAGGTGCTCCGACCATGCATCAAAGGTTTGAGCTCGACGAGGGTGACACATGTATGCAAACGACCACAACAAAAGACAACACGATGTCAACTGTTCGAAGCCATCCTGCCGCTGCTGCTGCTGCCAAGAAGAGAAGACGAGCAGGAGGTCAAGATGCGGTGGTAATGAAGCGAACGTTTTGCCTGTGGGTGTTGATTGGGTCTTGTCTTTTTATGCTGGTCCATCAGGTGCAACTGACGAAACGAGCGGTGCTCCAATCGAAGAGCACCAAAGAACCCACCTCTTCCTATTTCTTGCCGGATATTAGCAGTTTTCTGTTTGATGATACGGACAATGACAGTAGTGCGGACGATGTATTTGCCGATGATGACAATGCCCACCGTTACGATGACGACGACGATGATGAATTTCAGAGTGGCGAAGAAGATGATTTTTTCAACAATGGCCAGACGCAAGAGGAGGGTGAAGAACAAGGGGAGGAGGAGGAGGATGACAGTAGCAATGAACCGACGAGTGGCGTAGAAGTCTATGTCAAGCAGCTGAGGAAACAAATGGACGAGACTGCACTTCAAAGTGGAGGCAAAGTCTCTGCCAATGCCTACATGGAAATGTATCAGAAAGCAATGCAACGGCGCAAACAAAGTGCAGAATCCAAACAGTACAGACCATACGCCGGCAGCAGCGCTATCAAAGATAATAATGGAGATTTGTCTCGGGAACATGTTCGAAAAGCACGAGATATGGAACGAAAAACTCGCCGACGCAATTCGTATCGCACACGGTCCGATTGGAGACCGCCTATCCAAGACTTTACCAAGATGCCACCCTTGCCCATGGAAAATCGAATTCTACCCAACATGAAAGCGATCGGAGGCGTCATTTTCTTTCTCCATGTACCAAAGACGGGTGGACAGACTGTTCGACAATTCAACTTGAGATTTCGAATGCATATCGAACGAAAATCCATTCAAGCAAACCGACGACAACAGCGCAAAACAAATGGAGGCGCCAAGTTGCAGATTGGATTGAAAATAGGGGAGGATGGACCAGAACCACCCAGTCGGGAACTCATGGAACTGGACATGCTGTCCAAGGAACGACTACGATTTGTCGTTGCCAACACGCTGGATGTGTTTCATGCCGAAGCCGTGCCACAAGTCAATCATTACTTGGAGCACCAAAGCAATTCGCATGGCAAGATTCTCTTTGTAGAAGTACATGGGATGGATAACTACCATGCACTGGAATTGGAACCCTATTTGCAGCATTGGCGACAACAATCACAGAAATCGGGAGTGCCATTCTTTGCATTCACACTGTTGCGGGAGGCCATTTCCATGCATGTATCGTTCTTCAATTACTACTACATACATCCCGGGGATCCCAGATTTTGCAAAAATCCTCTCAAACCGCAGCAAAAATGCTCGGGTAGTGGCTACGGTATGAGCCGACGTCAAGACCGACATCAAAGACGGGACGAAGCCAAGGCGCAGTATGCCAAAATGCGAGGCATGAGTGATGCAAGAATGCGAGGAGGCGATAAAGCAGAATTGGAGGGCTTGTCCTATCGAGATTTCATGAAATCTGCCTACACCGACCGCCGCAAAACCAAAATGGTCAACCATGCCGATGGCATCAAAGGTGTTTCGCACGAAGACATGGAAAAGGCCATGCTCCAAGTGGCCTACGATAATCCACAATGTCTCTTCTTGGCACGTGGGGAGAGGGCATTTGGGGATGGCACGGAAGAAAAATTGATACGGGATGTCGAGTTGAGACGACTGGAATGCCAACAAACTTATCTCTCCTTGCAAAGGACCATGGATTGGATTGGTCGCACGGATACACTGTCCACCGAAACATTGCCCATGCTGACTCATATCATGTTTCAAAGACCAGAACTTGGAAAGCACCTTCCCAAGGCCAATGTCTCTCCTCCATCCGGTTTTGTCAAACTTTCCCAGCTTCAAGCGTCCACGGTCAAGGGACTGGAAAAAGTTAGTCAATTTGACCAGGAAATCTACTATCGCATCAAAGAAGATTACACTATGGATCAATGGGTCAACAAGACAGATTACCAATGATTGAATTCTGTCCATGGTCTTCGGTTTGAAGCTCCTTGAACGAGTACGCAGAATCATGCAAGAAGCAACGATGCAACGGTTTCACTTGACCTCCATTTTTGTCTCGGTAATAATGAGGACATCCGATGTCCTCCTCATAGGCGCAATGCCAAATGGCTTTCTGATATCATCCCAAGTTCGCGTTTGGGTGGAAACTGTAACAGTGACTAATATTTTTCGAGCCAACTAACTCGTGCATTGAGGCCCAGACACGAGTGCATTGTCTGTGAACGAAACGAACAGTACGCAGTTGCCCGTATAGATGTACCGATACATTGCTGCACTTGTTTTTACTGCATCTCTGACACAGTGTGGTCTAAGTAAGGCCTCTACTAGCTAGATTGATTCGATTCTGCCAATGTTAACTGTGCAGCTTTACCAACGTTGTCGTCGGTACACTTCTTGCATGATTTCTCCGTCGAATGAGGCGGCATGGGAATAGTACTTTTCGTGGAGAAGTCTGGCACAGGACTTGCCATTGGGTTGTTTGTTCATGGCTTGGTAGTTGGTGATATTCATTTGCCTCCACCCTTGCATCTTGCGATGGCCTGATATAGCCGACCGAATGACATAGTCATTGTTGTTGCGTCTATGGGCAAAGACTGTGACTGAGTGGTTGCCAAATCCAACTCCTTCGTAATGTCCTGGCGAGGGCTTGGAGTACTTGCCGGCCACCAGATCCAAGTTGGTACCATTGAGCCCCATAAAGTTAAGAAAGGCCCTCTTCATGGCACCCGGCCCAGATATGACTGGGACATAGAAGTTGCCTGTATCCAAGATGTTGTGCATCTCACGCATGACATCATGCACAGCTAGAAACATGAGTGGATGCCGGGGAGAGACAGCAAAGAAGTATTGGCTCAAGAAGCCACCTCCTTCTTGTAGAAAGTAGGCATCGGTTTCCGGTTGAATGGTGCCGGCGTTGAACAGAGTGTTGGGGTGATTATCCATATCAGTGTAGATCCCCCCATACTCATAGAGTGCTAGATATCTCCATAAGTCTGCCATGGCGGCTACATTGGCAAACAGAAGAAACGTGAGCGCAGAACTGGGGCGACAACCTGAAACTTAGTTGCATGCTTCTCAATTCTTACCTCCACCTGCCTGCTGCAGACATGCAATGGTATTCTTCAGCTGTGGGAACATGGGCCAATCTTTGTTGAATAGCTCTTCTACGGCTTGGTCGTCATGGAAATAGTAAGAGTGGTTTTCAAATTGCCACAGTTTGGAAGCGTCATAAAAGGCCCCAGTGAGGCATTTGGTCTTCCCCGTCATGTGGACAATCTTGGGTATTTTTCGTCCCAGACCAGCATCAGCCTCCGGATTGGAAATGATCTCGACAGCTTTCAAGTCGGATGGGCATTCTGGTGTCTCGGATGATCGCGTCAACTCATAAAGAGACTGGTGCCGACTGACCCTCTTGGGCTTTGGAAGCAATGTTCCGAAAATATGATTGTCTTGTTGCTCATCCTGTTCTCCATTCAAAATAGCCGTGATATTCTCATAGTCTGAAAAGTTTCCAATAGTTTCAGTTACGGTGGCTTGCAATTGACGAATGACCTCGTTGCTGTGGTCTGTCAGCTGATTCAGGAAGATCGGATTCAGTTGCTTTGTGTTGTGTGTTACCGTTGTCATGGTCACGAACAGTATGCCAGAAACGGCAACCGACTTCCATCTGATGCCTGACCCTTGTCGTGGAGACCTTGAAGAGGCTGGTGCTGCTGTTATCTCTTCTGCCATGGTCGAAAGTGCGATTCTATTTTGTGGGGTGTTGCCAGAAAAAGTTGTGGCATCAAATCAGCAACGGTTCGAGCCGCATTTTTCGGAAGCAGTAAGAGCATGCACGGCCTCGGCTGGCTGGTCTCAGTCACATCTTCAGCGTTGAGCACGATGTCCAACCATGAAGAGGCAGACTGTATTGGGATTCATTCATTTGTTGCAACAGGACGAGAAGGAAACCAACTGGTACCATAGCTGATATCAACGGCTTCACTAATGGCCGGTACAGTACAGTAGCTAGCTGTAGGTGGCGATGAGATACCGGCTACTTTGCTAGCGGTACCGGTACCGATACCGTACCATATCGAAGCGAAATCAACACGTGGCAAACCTTCAAATCCAAGTGTATCCCAACAATTCCCTTCCAATCATCATTTGTAGGTTGCCGTGATCATGGTCGACAAAGATGAGGCCTCCGTTTCGATCGATTCCGACTTGTATCTGGATATCAACAATCATCTAGACTTTGTCATCAAAGTCGGCTTGAACGAGAGTGTCCACCCGCCTAGCTCCAGTGAGTTCTAGTGCTTGAATCTCATTTGTCTGCCTCCTTAGCTAGTCGCAGTTTGGCTCATCAACGTGCCCCCTTCGTGCAGCTCTGTCGACCCCCGCCTTTCGACGCTTCCGTCTACGCCAACTACTTGACTCAAGTGGAAACATCGCCCTCGTGCAGTTGGCAAAGCTCGTGGAACCTGTTGACTACGAGACGGCGGTATTCTTCTACAGAGACAATCATGGCGACAAAATAGTAGTAAAGTCTACAACTGAGTTGTTGGATGCCATTTCTCAGTTCCAAGACAGGAACATTTTGGTCCTACATTCATTTGTGAAGCTTAGAAGACATCAAAACTGCCTTACCAAATCTGAGCTCTTCTTGAGCGGCTTGAAGAGCAAGCCCAAGCTTCTTGCCATTTCCAGGGCAACATGGGAGGGCAACAAGTCAGATTTTTCATTTCAGCACCTTGTCAATGGGAGACCGGAGTGGTCCAAGTATGTGGCCATGCGTGGCATCTATCTCGACCTCTCCAAAGAAGTGGAGGATGGACGTTTTCGACTTCTCTTGCCCCGCAAGATCTACCAAGACTTTCGTACCAAGCTGAAAGAGACGTCACGAAAAGCGGACCTGGACAGCGACCTGACCAGCCAGAAGCTTCAGCTGGTATACGGGTATACATCAAAGGATTCCCCGCCTGTCTTGGTGTCACTTGCAGATGAATATCTTCAGGGTAGTGCTGTGACAGCACACCGAGACCTTTTTGAATTCGCACGATCCAAGGAAAACTGTGACTTGTACCCCATGGATGCATTGCTCACCATGGCGGCACAAAGGCACGCTGATGGGGCAGAGTCTTGTCAGTTGACATTATTAGAGGTTTGTATACAACCTGCAGCGGCTGAAGTGGGGTTTACAAGCGGGTAGGTATCTTGTGATGCTAGATTGTTCCGATTTTTTGTGACTGAACACCCATTCCCTCCTATTGCAGTGACCGCACCAGAGCGGATGCAGATTCACAGTTGCATTTTCCCTTGGTTTGGGTTATATTGACGTCGGCCCTGTTGGTCTTGGTTATGCAAGCTGCAATGGACTACGTTAAAAATTAGCAGATGGGACAGCAGTGTGGTTAGGTCGCCAATCGCTGACAAAGGTTGGTTCTCTGATCATCTCTTCGACCCTGGACCCATCCATGGACCATCTCCAGGACCTAAATATAGACAATCGCAGGGACCCTGTCTGATCATAATATCCTGAGCCTGTACATTGATCTTCTTCACGACCTCAACATGGACTGACACATGGAATGATTGATTGAATGAATCGAATCATTCAATCGCATGGCTCTTCGCCGGGCTCGTTCAACCTTGGCCAACACCAGACAAACTCCTTTCAGGCGTGTTGTGTGCATTCGAACGCAACGCTGGCTTAAATCTCCACGCGAAACAACTGTGCGGTGAAACGCTCGCGTCTCGCGTCTTGCATCATCGCCTCATCACCACCTCTCTAGCTAGCTCTGGTCTGTTTGTCTGTTTGTTTTACCCAACATGGAGAAAACATTGACGGACTTCTTTTCTGCTGTGAACCGCAACGACGTAGACGGTGCCCTCTCCCATTGTGCTGATGATGTGCAATGTATCTATCCCGATCCTGGGCGCAACTGGCAAGGCAAGGAGCGAGGGAGAGTCGTGATGATGGCCATCTTTGGGCAACTAGCCGGAATCCAAAAGACAGCGACATTTGAAGTGGTCAGCGTTGATGAAGATCAGCGCCAGATAAAGACACGAGAGAAGTGGGGGCATCCTCATATCACGAGTAAAACAACCTACACATTTACACAAGACGACAAGATATTGAAAATGGAATCTTAGTTAGTGAAAGGTATGTGACTATATCTTCAGGTACTCAATCGATGCGAAGGAAGAGAGATCCAAGTTTTTTGCAGGTAAGTGGTGGGGGCTTCGTCCTCTACTGTCTGCTTGTTGTGGTTTCAGCATTCCTCACGCTCCTTTCTGCAATCAAGATGGAATCTACCTTGATCTATTCAAGCAGTGTGACCCCCAAGCGGGAGTCCGGCTGATCTTTCCAAGAAGGGTCCTCACGAGCCTTTCATCTGTCATCGGAGATAGGTTCCTTCCCTATTGTCGGATTGACGACGACTTGTGCTTCGTGGGTGCAAACATAGTTGGCGAAAACCCACCAGCATTCGTTCGTGTACACACTGAGACTAGTGACAACGGACAAGTGACCAGTGCCAGGCACGAGAACATGGGGGTATTGTGGAAGGATGATATTGAGCGTCATGTGTACAAGATTTGCGGCGTCTTCACGATGTCCTTGGTCAGGCAGATGGGCAAAGCGGTTTTTTGGTACCCAGAACTCACGATGGTTGGATTACGTGCTTTTTCGATCCATGATGAGCTACCGAAGAAGAGCAATATGGACAATGCCACGGCTTTTGGTGTTTAGAACGAAGCATAGGCTGGGCCTTTCACTTTGGCTTGTTTCTTGAAGGGCTTCTGATGTCCGGATACCTTAGGTTATGGCTCAGGCTGTTCACCGCAGGGTTTTTCTCACCCGAGCGGTTCTGTTTGAGTTGGTGACTTTTTATACTTGTGAAATTCAAAATGCTATAAGCACTTGTCCGTATTATTGGGCAACGCCACGAGAAGTATGCGTATGGTACCAGTTGTTGGAGAGGTTACTATGGGATTAGAAGGGACTAGGGACAGCAGTATGAACGGTATCGGTACGGTATTTTTTAGAATTTTAAATAGCGGACGATAAAGGAGGATGTGGCAAAGTTCCACGCTACAGTCCCACGATCATGACCACTGACGTCTGACGTCAGAAAGCGTCTCCCAACAGACGAAGGCATTGTTCTGATGAAGGTGATGCTGAAGAGATGATAGAATAAGTATAGTCAGCCATGGTGTGGACTTGTCGGTACATATGCTGGTGTGCTTTTGTGGTAGCTATCATGGCGCCACGCTGTTTCTCAGTTCTTGCCCTTCAACCAGCAGCTCCCCGGCCACCAATCCATCACTCCAGTGCTGCCGCCATTCCAGATCCACCTCCTGTTGTGGAGCAATTTGAGCCATCTTTCTTAGACAACGTCTTGTTGGCAGCCTTTCGCTGGACTCTGCAGCAGCAGTCGAATGGACCGCGATCCGATTTGCCAGGATTTGAGGGCATGGTGCAAGAATTGATAGATTTCCGTCAGCTCTACGGTCTCGATGAACAGGAGCGAGTTTCTTACCAAACCTTGCTTGCACTGGCCGGGCCTGTTCCATTTGTGTATCGACAGCTTTTTTCTTCCGGTGACTTCTCACCTGCAGTACTGGCGTGGTTTGCAAAACATCTTTTGCCATTTTTAGTTGGTGAAATGGAACTGACCGAAAGAAGCCAAGATGACGGTCGAACTGGAGGGGTCCTTGTTCACAGATGTCGCGTGTTGGAAGGCACCAATTGCAAGGGCGTGTGCGCCAAGATGTGCAAACTGCCCACCCAGCGCTTCTTTGCCGAAGAATGGGGTGTCCCTCTTTCCATGACACCCAATTTTGAAACGGGGCAATGTCAGCTGGCCTTTGGAGTGGAACCCTTGGCACTTGAGGATGACCCAACAATGCCGTCTGGGTGTTTGACACGCTGCCCTGTCGGTGCCACGCCTCTGGCATCCTCGCCGCACGAAACACAGCAACGAGCCCATGAAACTGTAGATACCTGCTGATCATGTCAGTCCCTCCTCGCTTTGTCATGCCGCTTCTGCGTTCAATTGAATAGCAGAAGTAGCTACTCATTCAAAAAGAGGCGTGAAGGCGGGGGTCTCTGGCCATTCGGGATCCACATATAGTGGCATCGCGACCACTATGAGGTCAATCTCACTTGAAGCTGTGCCATGTACTCTAGCTGCCAGGCTGAGACATCCCCCGGGCTCTGAAAACTGCATTCCAAGACCATGAGTTTCAAGACTCCACTTCTGAACTAACTAGTCGATAAGACATCTGGCTTGAGAGTCCCATAGTACGGTAGAATTGCTGAATTGCTTCTGTTGTCTCCTGAAATTATTGCACCACTTTTTCGACCTTGCTTGGCTGGATATCCGCCGCCCACGCGGCTCGCCCTTCTCCTTAACTTGCTGGCGTCTATCATCACCCCGAATATGCTGGGCACAAAAAGTATTGCTGTGTTCCACCGTAGAGGTACCAGACCTAGTGGCTAGAAAGACTATTTGGGAAACTCATTTTTTTTAAATGTTGTGTTGGCTACGCTACGACTCGGCGTCTTCATATGTACACTCTGTTAGCCTGTGTCTTCCGCTTGCTGCTTGAGAGTCCCATCTTTTTCAACCAGAGGAAGAGAGGGGGCCTACCTTTCACCGCTTGGGACAAGGGACAAGTGCAGAGTGGACCCCTTTTGAATGCTGTAATCAAACAAGCTTCGGTTTCCATCGAGCTGTTTCCCCCCAAAGTTCAAACATTGCTGATCGCGTGGAATTCCCTCCTTATGCTGTAACTTGACCTTGACTGTCTCCACGCTGTCCCGCGGCTGGACATCCACGACGATGGTCTTTCCGGTAACGGTCTTCACAAAGATTTGCATTGCAGTGTCCGACCGAGCAGGAGGGTCTCGTGGTTTCGCACTGGGGCTTGACTTTTCTCGGTTGATCTGATCTCTTGCGCCTAGAGCCAGGTCCCGGAGACGTTGGCTCACCTTCTTCCTGGCTTCCTCATCTCCCGCTTCCACATAGATGTCCTTTTCCTTTCGCAAAAAGCGAACGCCCTCCTTCTTGAGCTGCCGAACAACTTCCCACGCAAATTCCGTCTTGGTCTTGCGATTGGTCAGATGCAAGTAGTTCCAGGCGCGCTTCTCCAAAACCTTGTTGTAGTGCTGATTGCCAGGGTGGTTGTTGCTCAATCCTCCACGGCCGAACAAGATGTCCATGTCGCGAGGCTTGGTGATTGTCGCTGATGATGAGCGTCCACTGGCTATCTTGCGAGGGACGGGGGCACTCTTTGTCGTCTCTACAACCATTGCAGCGACGGGCGGAACCGGATTTTCGACAGCATCAGCAAATTGGCTATCTTGGCCTATGCTGGGGATGCGGAGAATGTGCTCGGCTGCGTCTTTGAGAGCCAGAGCTTTTTTGGTTTCGTAACCGTAAAGCAATATCTTTCCACAAGTAGCGCTTTCGTCCATGGCGACCTTTGCAGCACCAACAAGATTCTCGGCCACCTTGACCGGGCCATGAAAAGCTTCTCCGATCATGGGGAACGTGATTGATCGTCTTCCGATGAAGTCTGTCTGGTTGTCCATCAGAGCAATGCCCCGAAAGATCTTCTTGTAAACGTTGGCCAGCGGCTCGCCATCCCTAATAGAAACACAGAGGAGTCGGCGAAAGGGCATATCATCTCGTGCCTTGCTAATCCAAAGGTCATGTTGCTTGCGGAAATCAAATTCACACCGATTCGCATACTCGGCGGCGACGCTGATTCTGTGACGCTCCTCGATGGAGCGGATCACCGACTCGGGGCAAGTGATATTGTAATCCCCTTCACAACACGAAATCACCAATATGTCGGTTCGCTCCATCGGATTGGTTACATCTCCCTGCCAAACCTCGAGAAACCGATCGCGGTACTGCTTCGTATAGAATAGTTTCGGCGGTGGGTCTTTGGCGGTTCTCATGGCCTGGCGAACAGCAGCTGCCGCCATCGCCTCTTGCAAGATGTTCCTGTGTACTTGAGCCTCCAAGTGCATCTTCAATTGCTGCTGTTTGTATTGCTGTTGTAGGATAAGCTGCTGTTGCATCGCCAACGCTCCCTCCCCCGGCATTTGGTTTGGTTTGGGGGCAATGGCTGAACCTGCTGGGTTTCGCTTCATCATTGACTGTTGTCTTATCTCGCGCATCCATTCTTCTGCCATTTGCCCTTGTTGCTGTCCAAGCGCACGGAGATAGGGCACAACGTCAGGTGTCCGTTCGCGGAGACATTGCGAGGCCTTCTCACGGGCTTTCTTGTCGGGAACCTCCACCCAAACCGCCCCTAAGGATTCAGGATCTTTGCGGGTCAAGAACCGTCCCGGTGGGCTCCGCTTCCTCCAGATCTCCACCACAGCGCGAGCTACGTTGGGCTTTTCGACCTTCGTGCATGCCAAATAACGCATCTTGTGTTCGTTCACCAATTTGCGAAAGTTCACGTTTCCGCTGTGGTTGTTGGCGCTGGCGCCGCGACCAAGCAGGACGTCGTGAGGACCAGGATTGAGGATTTCCTCACCTTCCATGGGTACGTCGGAATTTGTCGCTTGTGATGAATCATCGCTCTGTCCGCCGTGAGAAGTCCCTTTTCCGTTCGCCGATTCAGTCGCTTTGGCTTCGTGCTGCTCTCCTAGCACCCACTTCGAGGAGAGGATTCGATCCAGTTTCCAACGCTTCGCGGGGTCAAACTTCAGAAGGTTTGACAAGAGCTCCATAGCCTCGGGGCTCAGGTTGTTGCTAGTGTAAGCACGCACATCTTCTGTTATGACACGCTCTGCCGCGGCAGCTCGGAAGAAATCCACCATTTTACCGAGGCTTCCCTGTGTCAGGAATACCTTGAATGCGGGGTCCACAGGGTGCGGAATGCTGAAAGGAGTCATGCCAGTCAGAACATAGAAGAGGGTCATCGCAGAACTCCACAGATTCGCGCTAGCGGTGTTCAGAATCGTGCTCTTCGAGTGGACTTCAGGAGCTTGGAATGACAGAATACCCCCGGTCATGGCTCCTGATTCAACTTGGAACGGGCCAGTGCCATTCCCTTGGGTTACTCGTATTGCCAAGCCCAAACGAACGAGAACTAACCTGTCTTTCACAAAGACAAAGTTGTCTGGTGTCAAGGCGCTGTGGTAAATTCCATGCTCTTCCAAAAACTGGAGGATCCTAAGGATCTTCCCGAACCAGTCTCTGGCCTTGACATCTGAACAGCCCAAGCCGTCGGGTACATTATCGAAAAGAGAGTCGTCCGTGTGATAAGCTGTCACAACGTAGATATGCTCTTCATCTTCCAGTGCATCGATCAACTTAAGAACGTGGTCATCATCTCCCATTTCTTTCATGAAGGCGATCTCCTTGTAAGGATTTTCTAGCCCGCCACGGCCCAAATACTCGTTGAGCCCTTTCTTGTTAATCTTCTTGATGGTCGCATACTCGGCATCTTCAGGAGGTGGTGCATAAAAGACCTCCTTGTCACCATCTTCGTCAATTCGTGGTAGGACATAGGCCTGGAATCTCTCACCAAACTCAGCCATGTCACCCGCAAGGCGCTGGTCGGCCTTTGGGATCTTCCAGTACGCTCTGGTAGGATTCTTGCTCTTAACCAGAAACACGTTTTCAGCAGCAGCATCGTTTGTTTCGAACGAAACGACTTGCACTTCCTTGTCCGCCTCGCCCTTGTCGAGAACAGTGGGATATGATCCCTCCGGAACTTTGTTCGGAGTGCCAAGGGAAAGGACCTTGTTATAATACCCCATCGCGGTTGGCAGCGCAGCACACGCTTCAGCAAGCATCTCCAAACCCATGAGAGGAGAAGAGTCACTGGCGTCGTTGGAGATAGGTGCTTCGGCAACGCGGCTTGCGTCTGGTTCTAGCTGCTGCTCGCCTTTCCTTTGGAGGGGCCACTGAATCTCCTCAGGTATTCCGCCTCTTGATCTGCTGACCTTGGCAGGGCGCCCACCAACATAACCGTCGTCGCCCTTGTCTTCATCTGGGTCCCAATCTCGGCCGGGTCTTGTCCTGGGACCGTCAATACTGCGAGCTCTCTTCCTGTTGGCTTGCAGAACTCCGACATCTTGAGGATTCATGCACTCAAATAGCTCAACGAATCCATTCCCTATCCCGTTGGCAATGGGCACCACCAGTGCGTAATGTAAGGTGGTTCGCTTCTTGATAAACTTCATGTGTTCATCCCTTGTGGCTTGACTATAGCAGGTCACACCCGGTGGGTCGGGCATGGGAGGACGCTTCTCATCTAGGATATCTTGGAACCTTTCCAGTTCATGGATGGCATCATCACGGTACTTTCGTTTCGTGGCAGTCAGCGCCGGATGACTGGCGGCGGTCTCGTCGATCCACTCTTCGAATATCTGCTCAAACCTCCCAAACCGGCGCGGGTACACTGGCGAAGGCTTCATTTCGTCCATGGATTGTATATTGAACCGTTTCTCGGGGCCCAGCTGAGCCCGCTGATTTAAAAAGGGATGCCCTGCACTGGAATGAGCTCCCATGGTTGGGACCAATCCATGCATTCCATGCAGTCTTTGGAGCAACAGCGGGTTACCCTGGGAAAGGCCAGGTGGAACCATCCCCAATGGATGTTCTGGTAGGGCACCAAAAGGGTTGCCCCGTGCCAAAAACTGGGGTGGATGTTGTTGTGGAAAGCGCATATGATTCTGCGCCATGGGGTGGTCATTCCCTGCCAAACCAGGCAGCACCCTGTTAGAAGGCTCTTGCTTGGGTAGCTGCGGCGGTGTCCTGGATACAGCCTCTGCTGGCTGGGTAGTCGCCACAGCGGTTTCTTCGTGACTCTCTTCTGTCGATTTGGTTGACACTGGGGAACTGAACTTTACCTTGAGCATTTGTTCTGCTTTGAACGCGTAGTCGACCTCCCGAATTGACACTTCAGGAGGAACAAAGATAATTGGCTGTCGCTTGTAATCTTCACAGCGATAGTCTTCTTTATCATACTTCTTGAGCCATTTCATCTCTGCCTTGACCGCGTTCTTCTTGAACCCTCCAGTGACCCTGGGCATGAAGACCTTGGGTATCATCATTTCAGATTTTTGAACAAACAGGAACGGCTTGGCGTTGACTTGCTTGCAATAGTCCAAATGCTCAATGGGGAAGTGTAGCGCGGCGACGTAATTCGTCTTGCTTCCATACTCAATATCGGTCTTGAAGCACTTCTCAAATGCGGCCTTCCTCTTTTCAGTCTTATCTGTTGTAGCCTTCTCTTCGTTCTGTCCACCCGATTTGAAGCTCACCGAGTAGACTGCATAGCGACCGAGAGGATCCCGTTGATCCCAAAAGTCCTTCCTTAACTCAATGCATCGATTGTCGCCACAGAGACAAGGGTGGAAGATGGGCGGATGAGCAGAGAAGGGAAATGTCTTGGTGTACTTCTTGTTATTACTGGGACTGGTCCTGTCTGCGTTGGTGAGAGACACGTCCGTTGGCTGCAGCCCTTGTGACCCTGAGCTACTAAAGGCTTCAGGGTCCATCCTCAAATATCTTGCTCGTTGTAAGATAGTTATCAGACAGGATACTGCTATCGTTGTCTGTATTGTTGTCTGGTACTGTGCGGTAGGGTCTCTGCTTCCTTGCTTTGTCGAAGAGGATCGATTGGTGGGTAATATCAAGTTTTGCTTGTCAGCCTTGCCTGCGAAACGTTGCTGCTGTGACCATCCACTAAAAAGTTGAGCCGTGTTGCGTTTGGCGTTTCAAAGCTTGCTTTTCTACAAGGCTGCCGTACATGCTGGTACAACTCTTACGTGCAACCGTGTTCAAGTGATGCACTTCTTGATGAGATGACCCGTGCGAAGCAACTGCTAATAAAAGCTCAGCTAAACGAACACATCAACCCTCCAATAAAATCCTCTGAAGTCCTCTGCTGTAAACCGGCGGCAGCCTTGCTTATGGTATTCCGTTCGTTTGCTTAATTTTTGACACGACACATCACAATGTTTAGTGAATTGAACCAATATGATGTAAATTCTACTTTCCTGAATCTATTCCAATGGGGCTGTGTTCCCCAACCCTGCCAATATGATACATCTACCAGTTGGTACCGATGGCGAGTAAACCGACCCACTATTTTTTTTTAAATGAAAAAACTGGCTAGCTAGTGGCTACTGTATGCATAGCTGTGTACTCACCAACTACCATACATTCAAATCCATTTTTACAATGGAGATAATCAGTTCTGAGCTCTCCAAAAAAGGTTGGGTTTTGGCTGAGTATTGAATCGAATCGAATCTTCTTTTATTTTGAGGGTAGCAATGGGTACGGTAGCTTCCACAGCAAACGTGCTGACTAGATCTAATAGGGGCTGGCATACCGGTAGCTAATCATAGCTTTTTCTTACAGTACTAGGCAGAGAGAGCCTTTCAAAAGGAAGAACACAAAATTTTGAAACATATTTTGGTAATTTTATATCTTCCAGTGTTCGTGATCATTCTGCTTCCCACCACGAAGTAAATGGTCGGTAAAGCTAAGATTGAAAAAAGTCTGGAGAGAAGGAGGAACGTCGGAAACGGTCAGGGTTCATAGTGTTCTTGGAACGTCACGACTCAATGGAGCGCTGCCTGGACTTAAAGATTATCCTCTTAGGCTTCAAGTTCCAGCTAAATCGACCGAGTGTCCGATCATTTCAATGTTGCATCCAATTGGAAAGTTCAATTTCTTACTCCCTAGCATTTAAGCTTAACAAAACTCTCTATCACTCTTGGAAATAGCTTTCTCGAGACATAGTCTAAAACTAGTATCACGCCGAGTAATTCTACACTGTACGGTGCACCTCAAGTATCAATTACGACAAAAAAAGTATCAACTCACGTCCACGTACTCGTAACACTCTGGATCAAAGGCCGTTCGGACTTTCTTTTCATTCGTTTTATTCGATTGAATCGAATCATTCCATTTTGCTGAATGATTTCTCGAATTCAATTCGATTCAATCCAGTTGAGTGACGAGTCGACTCAGTCGAGTGAGTCGAGGTACGGGTAAGTCGATTGAGTCGAGTCAAAGATACGGTATTTTCAAAAACGCACGATGGCGATCTTTTTGCAGCCACAACAGGCTAGATCTAGACCTACCAGTATGACCCCGTTCAGTTTCATGATGTTGGTGAGGAGCAGTCCGGCGGTACCACTACCGGTACCAGTTCAAGAATTCCCGTTCAGAACATTACACTTTAGAAATCTATTAGTTTCGACAGCCGAAAGCGGTGTTGTTGTAGTGTGAAAGAGGAGATGAAACAAGTTGGGAAGTGGCACCCTAGGTCATCCGTCAAGCCTCCAGGTTTCCTCCTCATCGTTTTGTGTCTGACATTGCAACCATTGCAAGGGTTTGCTTCCATTCCATTTCGAAGTATCCGATTCGCCACCACTCCAATTGCTGGATTCCCCATTGGTCATCGTCGTCGAGTCATGTCGTCGTCGATATCTTCTGCCAGTGCCGATGCACTTCCTCCCAGAGGGGGAGGAGGAAAAGATGATGATGCTCCAAAGGAGACTTACGACAGCCTTGGCAAAAAGGCCCTTGAGAGTATCCGATTCTGCGCCATGGCGTCGATTGGCTCGGCCGCCATGGATGTCGTGGGCGGTTTACTGAACCAAGTGTTTCCCAGTGCCCCAGATATCGTGGACCCAGTCCTTCAAAAAGTGAATATTCGAAACATGTTGGAATCTGTGGCGCTGGTGGATTTTGTCTACCGAATTGGGTTTGGTTTGGGACTTTTTGCCGTCTCCAAGGTATATGCCAAGGCTATGGAAAACACTCAAAAGAAACTGAGCAACCAGGAACTCTTCGATTTGTCTCGGATCATGTCCTATTTGTGGGGTGGAGGAACCGTACTACTGACCCTGGCGGGGTTGGCGGACGCGGCAATTCTAAAAGAAGATGTGGCCAACAATGCACACTTGTCCAAGATTGTAGGCCCCGAGAGCTTTGGGGCATTGGCCGTAGCGAGTTTTGCAGCCGCTGTTTTTGCCTCGTCCGCTGCCGAGCAAGATATTTCCAAACAATTCCCGCTGTCCAACAAAGACGAGTCTGATGATAAAGAAGCAGTCAAGCCTTCCAAAGTACGATCCACGGGTTTCACTGCGGCGCGCAACATGGCACTGTGCATGGGATCCCTGGGCGTCGTGGGAGTAATTGATATTCTGATACCGATGTTGAGGCCCATGGAAATTATGGACCGTGTGTTTGGTCTGTCTGAGGTCTATGAAGACGTTGTCTATTTCCTCCTCTTGAAAACTTTGAATGGTTGCTTCCGGAGGGCCATCGCCGAGGCAACAGACGGGAAACAGAGCCCAGCCGAGTCCAATTCACTCCTGTTCGATGCACAACGCAAATTTTACAAGAAACTCGGTGATACGTTCCTGTTTACAGCGGGGTTCCAACTACTGCTACCACTTTATCAAGCTGGTGTCACAATATGGAAGATGATCACATCATAGAACGAAACGTAGTTAGGCAAGAAATTATCAGGAAGGATGTTTGAAAACAGATCTTTTGCTTGTGATTCCATCCTTTTCTCGTTGGCAACGTTCGTTTCTGGTTGGGAAAGAATAAAAACACTTTGGTTCGAGAGTTCCGGAGCGGTTTGGGTTGGGACACGTTCAGATCGCGAGAATCAATCGCCCCGACAGGTTGCTTTCATCTCGGCTTGTCTATTGGAAGCAAAGGAGGGGACCGGTACAGTACTGGCACCGGTGGCTTCCAGGCTGGTGTCTGATACGGTAGCTTGTGTGATGATGTTGGAGGTGCTGCACACGTGTGCTACACGACAATGTACTAGTAGTACCACTACCGGTACACTTGTATCAGTACCATAGCACCTAGCCGTACCGGTACGACTGTACTGTACCGGTTCCAGCACTGTGCGCTGTGCGCCAGAAGTGTCAGGATACTAGTACTGAAAGACTTAATTCAAAGAAATAGGTTATTAAGGCTGTTGATGGTGGGAAGTTGCTGATGCGACTCGACTCGACTCGCAGATTTAGGACAGAGGTTGTACTCTCCTTTTCACACCGAAACCAGTCGGGGATAGCAAAGCAAGAGGACAAGAGCAACGAATGTGCACCCATCATCTTTGTGCACAGGCAAGACAAGCAAACACAAGCCAATTCTTGTTGTTCAATGCTTCTCCATGTGACTTTTTTCTGTCATTAGCGTCTCGCTCTACTGCTTTGCTGTGCAGAGATCGCCACGGGATTGGACTTTTCTTTGACCTGATCCTGGGCCAGGTTCCTTGACCTCGTCAGGTAGTAGTACTGTACTGTACCACTGTACCGTGTACCAGCACGGTGCCAATACCAGGGCCAGCATGATGTGACCGCAACGTTGTGCCCTCGACCTGCCCCTTGGCTGTGTCACGAGTAGAACAATAATGAGGGTGTGGGATTGAGATGCCCAATCTCTCAAGACGATACTGCCGTGCGTGCCAATATGGCACTTGCCGAAAGCCAGTAGCTTCTACTGCGGGCCCGGGGCTTGCCTTGCTGCCAATCACCTTTGCTCTGTTGAAGAAGGGCGTCATTGCGCTTCGATTTGATCGTGTCGCTACTCAGCGAACACAGTTCGGTGTTGCCAGTGCGGATCTCTGCTTGGCGTTCAGAAAACACCAGAAAGCCTCCACACACTCCTCTCAACAGAGGTTCGCACAATTCCAGAAACAAAAGCTTCAGAAGCGAAACCTCTCAAGAGATTTCCTCTTGAACTCGAAAACAAAAATGAAACTCTCCAGCAATGCCATCGACGCCGTCAAGGCCAACGAATTCAATATTCTTCGAACACCCATCGGAGGATTGCGTGAAACCCATGCCATCATGGGACGCGGAGGCCGCGGAAACAATCGTTATGCCAACAAAAAGTACCGCAAGATTGTCGAAAGCTTTCGACCCCGGTACTTGGATGCCACCTCCCTGAAAGAAAAGGAAGCCATCACGAAAGAAACATTGGAGGCGATCAAGCCTATCCAATTCGTTAAGGAGGTTGAAGGTGACTTTTTCTTGGTTACCCCAAAGGAGGCGTACCGCAAGACTGGCCAATACTTGCGAGACGGACGTCCCAAGGATCAACGCAAGAAACTTCCCAAGAAGACGAAGAAGACGACCGCCAAGCGTCAGCCTCAGATCAAAGAGACCTTTGCACCCATGACGGCGAGGACTAAAACCTCAGCGGGTCCCAGTGCGCCTCTGACGAAGGACGATTTGGCCTTCTTTGAGCCCATCAACGTCAACATGACTGAGCCTGAACGTGAAATTGATGTGGATCTTCTCAACTACTTCTTCGATATCGATCCGTGTGACACTCTTCTCGTGGAGCTCACCCAGGAACTTGAGACTTTGGAACTCACTGCTGAGGAAAGCGAGTCTTATTAAGAACCCGTTCGTATCGTCATCCCATCCTTCAGGCAGTATAGCGATACTTGTCTTTAATCTATAGATAACTACATATTTAGATTCCATGTTGAGTTTACTTTAGTCTTCATCTCCATTGTACAGGGGAGGGCAATGGGGCCTTCCAACCTCCCTTTGGCCAGTTTTCCCATGCCTGGAGCGTCCCTCAATCGTGGGTGATGGAGAAACCGACCCTAAATCCGAACTTAAATCTTTGAAACCCGTCCTTAATTCTATTGGAGAATAGGGTCGGGTTCGAAGCCCGACCCAAAATCAAAACTGAAAAACCGTCCCTAATTTAGGGTCGGTTTTGAAACCCGACCCTAAAGGGAATCCGTCCCTAAATCCGTCCCTAAATTAGGGTCGTTTCAGATTTAACTTCATACACGATTGAGGAACGCTCCTGAAGACCGTCATAGAAATTACACTCGTACTGAAGCAAAAGCAGCTCTAAAGGCTCCAGAGTTCAACTTCCTAAGTGATACCAGCTCAGCGGGCTTACATTTACTGCTTTCCCAAGTCACTTTTAGACTACTCCAAGACTCTCATTATCAGCAGAGAACAACAGGAGCGTTCCTCAATCGTGTATGAAGTTAAATCTGAAACGACCCTAATTTAGGGACGGATTTAGGGACGGATTCCCTTTAGGGTCGGGTTTCAAAACCGACCCTAAAAATAGGGACGGTTTCTGAAAAACCGTCCCTAATTTAGGGTCGGATTTCGATTTAGGGTCGGGTTTGAAAACTGTCCCTAAATAGAAACGGGACTGAGTGGTAAATACATTGAAATCCGACCCTAATTTAGGATCGGGTTTCAAAACCGACCCTAAAAATAGGGACGGTTTCTGAAAAACCGTCCCTAATTTCTAAAGGATTGGATTTTGATTTTGGGTCGGGTTTCGAACCCGACCCTATTCTCCAATAGAATTAGGGACGGGTTTCAAAGATTTAGGGTCGGATTTAGGGTCGGTTTCTCCATCACCCACGATTGAGGGACGCTCCAGTTAATTTAGAGTGGGTAAATTATCTGTGGATAGAGCAATGATAGCAGAGAGCTCGAGTTTTTCTTGTTGCCAATTCTCTTGTGCCCCACTACTGAAAGTGGATCAGAAAATGACTCGACTCAACCCAACTCCATGATTTGCAGTTCTGCCGAGTGTATGAAATGAAGTCCAAGATTATACACAAGCACAACTAGCTCTTTTCTGCACACTCTGCCCAGAGAAGAGCCTCTTGCTGGCTGGGGACAATGCACAATCTGTCAAAGGTGGGTGCAATCTGCCATGTTTCGATATTCACCCTTTTTTCTGGCACAACTCGTTGCTCTTGTCTGTTTTAATGGGTACGGACTTTCGATTTGAAGATCTGCATGCTGTTGCTTATTTGATGTATGCAGGCCACATGCATGACCTTTTTCTGCAGAAGCCATTGAAGGTACATTTGCTAATGGTCATGTCAATTGTAGGTTGGATGATTTCCCTCATTAGCTGATTTTGTGGCTGCGGGAAGGAATGTGCTGTCCTCATCTGATCGTTTGCCTCCTGCGCGTTTCTGTTCTCTTGTTCTTCTACCAACCAGACCCTTCCTCTTCGTACCGGTATCTATCGAGTCCCAACAAGCAGCTTGTTGGTCGTAAGAAACCTGCACATCGAAGGACGTTCCGGTTTTCAGAAGAGTTTTCATTTCCCACTGCTTCCATCTTCGAAAAGACTGTGGCAAGCCACTTTCACGAGTTCAATTGCTTCTACAATCTTTTTGAAGCACCGACGTCGATTCCATTACACTTCAATATGATGCACTTCATTAATTCAACGATACGTCTGCCACAAGCAACCTCCGACAACGATGTTTTGCTGAGGCCCGAACCGCGGGAGTTGAAAAGCAAAAAAGAATTAGAGGGACTTTCCTTAAAATCCAAAAGATCCACAAGATCCACACGGTTCTCTCTCTCGTTGTCTTGACGACAAGGACCTTTTGCGCCTTGACAAAAAGTTGAGACTGCCACAAAAATTCAGACTTGGGCGGTCCAGCCGGGGTGTTGGATTCGACGACTACGGGTGGGTGACCCTGTGTGTAGAGCAAGTGGAGACATTGTTGATTTTGCAAAAGAGAGGGAGGAACTAAACAAAGAGAGAAGGTGACATTTCGAGTGACAGTCGCTTCCAAGGCCGGCATTTGAGTTTGTGACGGAACAGCGTTGGCTTTGCTCTGGTCGTGAATCGAATCCAACAAGGGGACTTGCAGGCTGGAGTTGGCTGAGAGAAAGAAAGGGCATAGCGGCTACTGGTGGTACAACAAAGGAAAGGAAAACAAGATGGCGCGACGACGGAATCGTAACAATCGCCGGCGTCCTCCTGCTGCGAATAATAATAATGACAATAATGGCGGCATTCCCAGTCCGGGCACAGAAAGCACGCCTCCCTCTGTCTTCTCCCCCCCTCCTGCTGCTGCTGCGAATATTAATGACAATAATGGCGACGATTGCACGCTTCCATCATCTGACTACACCCCAACCACACCCAACTACAGCAGCGACGATTGCACGCTGCCATCCGACTACACCCCAAGAGCACCCAACTACAGTACATGTAGCGACGATGATTCGCTGCCTCCTCCACTTGCCTTGAGTAACCAAAATTTGGTCGGCAGCAGTAGCAGGAGTGCCAACCAAGACTGCAATGACGGAATGCCCAATCTGCTTGCTCGTGGCAGTGGTGACGAGGCAAGAGTTAGAAATGAACGAGCCGTAGCGAGTTCTTCTGGAAGTGATGATTGCGATGATGAGGATTTTGTCGACAACACAAGTGAGGAGGAAGAGGATGATGGAAGTACCGATTCTCCTCCTCCCTTGGTCTTGTCCAGCCGACGCTCCAATAGTCCCAGCAGCATCAGCAGCAGCAGCAATGACGAGGATGACGAAAAAATCTGTCCAGTCATTGCCTTGGGAGACTACGTGGTCTATCATTTGGGAGGAAATAATACTCAATGGCTGCAGGGTCGGGTAGTCAAAGTGAAAATCAGAAATATCAAAAAGAGAAACAAAACGCAAGAGAAAAAGACTTGCCGCGTGTATCACATTCAACCATTGGATGGCAGACCCAAACACCCCATTGAAATTCAGGACTCGGATAAACACAACGAGATTGCCCTGGATCCCATGGAGGGAGCTGTGTTGAATTTTCGCCAAGGGGACAAGGTTCTGGTGTTGCTGGCGAAAAGCAAAGTTCCAGCAAGAATTGCCAAGTATCTCGCCCTCAAACCACGCATGAATGAACAGTGGCAGCATGCCACAGTTGAAAAGGTCTGGCCTTTTATTCAAGGCAAATCGCCGCAAACCTATTCGGTCATCTTGGACAAGGTGCCTCCGGAAGAGAAGGGAAAATGTCCTATGTCCTTCGAAATGGAAGATACGGTCACCTTGGACAAGGTGCCTCCGGAAGAAAAGGAAAAATGCCCTATTTTCCTTGAAAAGGAAGATCCCTTGGCCCTACGCATGCGCCACGGAGCAACAAGTCAAGGAGATTTGTTCCAACCAGGCCAAGCAGTCGAGTGTCTTGTAGAGGGGGTGTGAATGCGCGGAACAATTGTACCGGGGGAGTTTGATGTTGTGAATGTTCATGTCAACCAGGCAGAGACCAGTGAAGAGGGTGCTTTTCCTTTCCATCTGTTTTCGACGGACCATCGGTTGCCCACCGACAATTATGCAGCCTACTTTGTCATGATCATGTCCAGCGGGGGCACTTTGGAAAGGACAGCTGGCAAGTGCAGGAGTGTCATTGTGGACGAACACGTCCCTTGTTTGATTCGACCGCGCAGCCAACGCATTTTTTCAAACGAGGTTGAACCCTGTTCCGATGTTCGCACTTTATTGCACCAAGGAATGGAACACAACACGCGATTGTCCTTTTTCCGAGGATTGGACAAGAGCAAGCAGGCTGGTCAGTTGGTCTTGAACAGTTGTCCCGATTATTGGGTTGCCCAAGCAATCAAGGCGGGAGCATACGATGCTCTTTTGTGGTTAGAACAAGATCTTGGGGTGAATTTGGACAGTTTTGTCTTGCCTCAAACAAGTAAGAATGGTCATCAGCAGCATAGTACTAGTAGTTTTCGAGGACGGGGGCTGCTGCATTGCTTGGTGGATTCGCCCAAGGCGAGACAATTTTTTTCCGCCTGGGCTGCTCGGTCCCACGGATACTACCAGGAACGCACCAAGGGAGACAAGGGGAAAACTCAAGATTTGCTGTTGAAGTGTTTGACATACGACAGTGATGCCAGTGCGTCGAGACAGATGCCACCGATGTCATTGGCCATTAGAGATCAGGACGGTCAGACATTCTTTCACGCCATCGTCAAGACAAAAGATATCTCCATTTTACAGAGCGTCGTTGCCCGAAGCGCCAGCGGGAATTGCCAACGCCTATGGGATCTTGTGCATGTTTTCAATGAAAATGAACCATTGGTGATGGTGAAGGACGACCAAGGGATGACGCCTGCCGATTTGGCGCGGTCTTTGCAAGAGTTTCGAATGGCTCGAATCTTGGATAGATTTGCCGCCTCCTGTTGCGTCCATTTCTATAGTCGCAACTTGCGCTCAGGCGCGATTGTTGGAGTCATCAGGCCACCAACGCTATACGGTCTCGTGAGAGACGACACAATGAAAGAAACGATTGAAAACCAGATTGCAAGAGAGCTTCGATTCATGCATAGAGAGTACGGTGGCGAACACTTTGTGTCGTGCGGCGAGGCCTTTGCCATGGCTGCTCAAGCTGGCGACCTCGAGCGTCTCCGATACTTGGTTGAGCGCAACAGATCGTCGCTGCGAAGCACGAAACGAAAGGTAGTAACCACAGCGGACAAGGGCGAATTCACTTGGCGTCATTTTCGGTTGCTTGGAAAAACACCGAGTGGAAAACCTACGGCCACGGAAGACCTTGACCTCGTGGCGTGTGCTGTGCATGGCCCGTCAGCGCTGGCGAGACATTGGCCTCTGCTGGAACAAGACGATGTGTCCGTCGCGGAGGTTGCCATGAAGGAGCGCTATTGGAATTTCATTTTTGGCAACGAAGGCGCTACCCCTGAATGGACTGGAAAACATGTGTCGAGCGAGCCATCTGGGGACCTCGAGGCCTTTCTCAAAGGAACGGGGTCGTCTTGTCGAGTCAGCAACTTGATGAAGCGCCACAAGTCCACAATTGTTCACGATGACGACAACCTTGGGAAACGTTTGGATGTCCTTCGCTACCTCATCCGGGATTTGAGGCTCCCTCCACCAAGCGTGGTAGATTGTTTGCGATGGCGCCAGTGCGGGGTTGTCCGTTCCTTGATGGAACAGTCGCTACTCAGGCTTCACGACACCGTCGAAACCAACAAGGAGCTGAGTGCATTCCTGCTTCAAGGCGGAACAAGTTGGCTTTCCAGCGGGAAAACTTCTCTCGAAGCCGGTCTCAAGTCCCTTACCGTTGGTCAAACAATCTGCTTCTTGGCAGTAGAATTCGACGACCTTCAAACTTTTGACTTCGTGCTGAGCTCTGGGAATGTCAGCCCATCAATTTGTTTTCAAGGATGGACCTTGCTGCATGTCAGCGCTTTTTACAGCCGTCGAGAGATTTCAGCCTACTTGGTCCGGGTATGCCCATCGCTTGTGAAGGAGAAGCTCGCGTATTCCCGATTCGAGGAGGGCAAGTATGCTTCCCATATTGCCATTGAACAAGGGGATCTACTTCTTGCACAGTTCCTCGTGCAGTCAGGTTGTCCCTCGCTGGATTCAAAGCAGAAGCCGCTTTATTGGTATGGAGAGCAAAACCCAATCAATTCTGAAATTCGCGAATGGTCCGATCAAAACAGAGAGCGTGAAAAGTTCGAAGGCACCATTAGCGCTTTGAATGCTTTGCTTTTTTCCAACAAGATTCACGAGCCGAATGCTTGGAATGAAATCAAATCATTCATAACCTCTCACAATTGCTTTGCGGACGACGCATGGAAGACAGCCGGTTATGAAGACCCCGACAAGCCATGCAAGGGAACAAGCTTTTGGGATATTGTGGATCGGATTGCCGAGACCGCAAACGCCTCTTTCATGCTATGGTTCTACGAACAGACGTTGCCTGACTCCTACTTCGACGTTGCCAGTCACCATCCCTTCTGTCAAAAGATGCGCAGCTTTTGGAAGCGGGCAGTACCCGGTGCGAACGATTTGGACGGCATAATGAAGGCGAAGGGCAAGAAAGGGCTGAAAGAATACTTGGAGCAAACCAAGAAGATCGTAGGGCCAAAGGCTTTTTCGCCCCTCGAAAGTCTCGCTGAGAAAATGGCGAGCACCCGGAGAACGGGCGAGGCTAGAATTGCTGCGGCGCCTTTGGACCCTGTTTTTGTCCGACTTTGGAACAAGATTCAGTATCGTCGCAAAACGAAGCTCGTCGAAGCCTACCAGCTCAAGAAGCAAGAGCTCCTGTTTCAAGAGTTTGTAACAGACCTACTCATTTCTTCGAAGTCGTTGCTGGAGAAGCACATTTCTGACGGGTCGTCGAAAGATGTTCTGGACGAGTCATTGCATAACCTGATTTCGTGTGCTGATCTCTTGAAGAAAATTAGCCCGTCGCATCCATTACTGGATGTCGGCAACAGCAATTTCTGGGGCTCCAGTGCTTTCCTACCGAACGGTCGCATCAACAGCCAGTTCGAAGCACCAGGAGCTGCCGGGTCGGTTGCACAGCGGCTTGGAAATGCGTTGGGCGTGGCAATTTCAAATGGGCATGTTCATGTGTTGGAGTGGCTACCTGATTTGTCTGAACACCAGAGGCGACGAATGCTCCGTCTCGCTGGCATGCACGGACAAAGTGGCATCATTGACCACTTGTTGCAACTTTCAGGTGGCTGGGATAACGGAGAGACGCAGGGTGGGAGGTATCTTTCTGCTGCATTGGGGGCAGCAGAAGCAGGTAAGTCGAGTTGCACCCATAAACTACGCCATCACAATGAAAGCTCACATGTCGCCTTCCTACGTCTCCAAGGCCAATCCAGTGTCGAACATTACTTCCGCGAGGCAAGGAAGCGAGTACATGATCCCACCGAACTGTCGCAAATCTTCAGTAGCGCAGTATTGGGCCTGTACTCGCACGTGAATGGCGATGGAAGCGAGGATGGTGAGGACTATACTCGACACTCTGCATGTATCAACTGGCTGGGATCCCAGCCAGAAGTTCAAAAGTTTGACGGCGTCGTTATGGCAAAGAAAATGAGCACCAAAAACCGCACGGCCTTGAACTTGTTCGTCGAGATTTTCAAGCTTCTGGATGCAGACGAGATATGGAAGAACCAGTTCGAAATTTTGAACATGTGCAGAGACCTTCTGTGCCGATATCAGAATTCTCCCGTCGATGCGGAAGCACTTGCGGACCTCGTTGTCTTTTTGGCAAACAGCGGAGTCGATATTCAGTCTGTCCTAGTTGACATCTTGGCAGATGGCGGAATCGATAATAGTCCCGTTTCAAGCGAAATCCCTCGGTTGCGTGGTGCGCAACAGAAACAGCTTCTCCATTGGCTGCCATTTCGAATGTTGGTCCTCGGCTTCAAGCAGGTGGACGTGGTTGATGGTTACAACAACAGTGGTATGAGGATTTCTCACTGTGCTGCCATGTGCGATAGAGCGGACGTTCTCGATTGTATCCAGCGGTTGAACCCAGATGTTGTTGGCAAGATGGACAAGCAAGGCAGAACAATTGATACGTTTGCTAGAGACAGCAATGCTTCCTCAGTTCTCCTGTGGATTGAGCGGAGAGCTGCAGGTGTTCTTGTTGGCACTACTCTTGCTTCCCACTACAGAAGGCGGATGGCCGTCCGTCAGAAGGATTCTGCATTGGAGCAGTTGCGCAAGATTCAATGGGTATGGAAGGGGGCATTGACTCGCAAAATGTACAGAGCCCTGATTGAGATGCGACTTGACCAGCGCAAAAGGTACACAATATTGTGGGGGCGGTTGGATGAAGAGTTGCAACCTAAAGCTTTGTTCAGTAAATGGAGCTCCTGGGATTCACTAAAAAATGCTCGATTCAATCTGGCTGCTAATCTTGATCAGCTACGGGAATACGGGGACACATTCAAGCAGCTGGACGATGCGGCAAACGAAGTATTCTATGATTCTGATGAAGAAGTCCAAGCAAGTCTGTCCACAGAGAGGGCAGAAGAAGAAAAGAAAGACGATGCTGTTGGTTTGTGCAGTCAGGAAACAGTTCAGGATTCACGGTTGGAGCCACAAGATGGTGTTCTGCGATCACTGCCTCTCATGGACAACATAAAACTCACCAAGCAAGTTCTTGCTTGGATCAGAAAGAATGAGGGAAAATATGTAGACCTCTTTCTGCGGAGAATTGAACAGCTCGCCTCAGGTCAAAGGAGCCGGATTTTGCAGAAAGGCCTCGTGGGGTCCAACACTGCAATCTACGAAACCTATTTAGAGCAGAAGTCGGCTCAAAGGATCATGTGGACACGTGAGTAAGATTGTAATGGTTGCATCGATGGATGTTGGATACTAGCTCAACCTGCCGGCTTCACTCCTTGCAGCATGCGTGGAAGACGGAAAGAACTGCATTCTTGTTTGGTACGTCGCACGACACAAAGAGGTGTCACGCCTCATGGAGTTGATCGATCAGAGCCAGAAGCGAACGGCCAGAGATTTTGTGTCCGCAACTACCCTCTACGCAGATAATGGCGATTTGGTGGATGGCACTATCGTCATAGATCCCAACGATGTCCTCCTCGATCCCATTGCCGACGTTCCCTTGAAGCTACACCAGATCCGACGAAATGAAATAGGGAAGCTTGCTTCGTCTTCGTGGGTTCCTCCACTTCGATTAACACCTGAAGAACGTTTGTGTGTGGAGAAAGAGGGCACCGTCCTGCTACTGGGAAGATCGGGAACTGGTGAGTTATTTCGCAAGGAAGTCTTCAAATGTCTCTCTTTGTGATATTATGCTGACGGTTGATCCCGATCTCAGGCAAGACTCTTTGCATTGCTAACAGAATATTGCGAGACGCCAACGAGAACAAGACAGGCTTCAAGGCATTGTTTGTGGCCAGGTCGAAGAAAATTTGTAGGCATGTACGCGCACTCGTTGGCGACAACTGGGAAACTGCCGACGAAGATGCAGATGCATCCAAAATGAAGCCAGAGTACGTGTCATTCGCTGAACTTTTAGACCGACTAGGCGAGACTCTCGGAGAGTTGCGAATGTTTCGTACGAGGCGCAGTTACGTTGATTTTCAGCGATTTCGCCGTGAGTTGCTCTATAGAGGCTCTCTGGAGACAACAGATTCTCTTGACCCGCTTGTGATCTGGGCGCAGATCCGGACCTTCATCAAGGGCAGTATCGAAGCGGTGCAAAGGAGAAGACCACTAAGTTTGGATGAATATCTTGCGTTGGGGAAAAAGCAATGTCGCCTCAGCTTGGAACAAAGGAATCTAGCATACTCAGCGTTCGTGTACTACAACGATCAAATGCAGGTAAGGAAAGAAATTGTCAATCACTAGACCATAATGATGGCAGCATGCTCACAAACAACTTTTCAGAAGAGGGGCTTTTGGGATGATTGTGACAAATGCTCATGGTTTTTGCAGGCTCTTCAGAGACTTGACTCAACTCAGCTCCATGAATTGCAGTTCTGCCGAGTGTATGTAGATGAAGTCCAAGATTATACACAAGCTCAACTTGCTCTTTTCTACACACTCTGCCGAGAGAAGAGCCTCTTTCTGGCTGGGGACAATGCACAATCTGTCGAAGGTCAGTGCAATCCTTCAGGTTTCGACATTCACCCTTTTATCCGGCACACAAGGTACCAACTGTTCGATTTCTTTGCTCCTGTCTGTTTTAGAGGGTGTGGACTTTCGATTTGAAGATCTGCGTGCTGTGGCTTACGTGCTTTACGAAGGAGACACGCATTACATTCCGCAGAAGCCCTTGAAGGTACGTTTGCCATACTCGTCATGTCCCTTTCATTGTCCATCCGTGCACTTGCACCAATAACCGATTTTTTCATCCATGGTCGTTCCAAAAGGTGAACAAGAACTTTAGATCACACGCAGGTATGCTCTTGCTGTCAACGAAGGAAGCTGTATGTTCAGCCTCCTCATCTTGTTAATTGCTAACGACGCCTGATGTTGTGTTTGGTTCCTGCAGGTATCTTGGATCTGGCTGCGAGTATTCTCGAGCGACTTTTTGCTGCCTTCCCCGCTAGCACACGCAAACTGCCACCAGACAGAGGAGTCTTCGTTGGCCCGCGTCCTGGAATCCTATCGCTGGACCAGAAAGGTTTAGACCTGCTTCTGCAAAGAAACCCAAGACTTTTTGTTTTGATGCACGATGAGAAGGTGGCATCCATGAGGGATGCGCTCCAAGCCAAAAACAACGTTGTTGGCATTAGGGAGGCGAAAGGTTTGGAGGTAGGTCCCCAAATCGTGCCTTTCTGCTCTTCTTGGTTTTGCTCATCCTCCGATCACCTCACAATGCCTGCTTGTTTGGCCTGACCGATAGTTTCGTGATGTGGTCATTGTGAACTTCTTCTGCGATCTAGAAGAGGCCCACCAAAAAGCTTGGCAGGAGCTACTGAGAGATCGCGACTATGCTGTCAAATTCGAGATTGCTCCGGGATATCCTCAGCTCGAGGGGCATTTGAAGCTTCTCTATACTGCAATCACACGCACATCCAGGAGGCTCTTTTTTGTGGAAAAAAGGCAATCTATTGCAGGCAGGGCATTCTTTCGTTGGCTGGCCGCCACGAAGAAGCTTGCGGAGAAACTGGATGCCTCCAAGATGGAGACAGTAATGACACCGGATGAGTGGAGGTGCCTCGGTGTGGATTTGGCAGTCAACGCGGAAGACACGGATGAGAGTTATAAGGCACTCGAATGGCTCGATCGAGCCATCCATTGCTTTGAGCAAGTGGGGGAAGAAGCACTCTTGAAAAAGGCTCGCGCTCATGAGAAAAGCCTCAAGCTCCGACTTGAAGCGGACCAGGACAAGGGCTTGGAGGTTACCGAAGACAAAGAACAAGAGATTTGCGATGCCGCTTACGCCTGTGCAAGGGAGGGCGTCATACCAGAGCTGTTCAGGTTGGTCTCTACTTTTCTCCCCAAGCTGAACAGTATCACTCAAGACGGACTGGAGAGTGATTTGTTGGAAAAGATCAAGGACTTCGTTTGACGCAGGGCACACGCTTACACTTTGCCAGCACTGTCAACACTCACACGGAGGGGAACACAGGGGTTTACACTGGGAAATAATGCATTATCTATTATTAATAAATATACGGTACAATAAGAAGCTTGGCCTCCGGTCCCCAATTGGATGTGCGCGCCTTTCTTTGATGTCTTGCGGTAGTTACAACAACAGTGCTGTCCTGACATTGATTGGTACTTTCTCGGGTGCTTTGGGCACCCTCCGTTGGCTGATTCAAGAAGTCCAGCCAACGTGCTTTCTGCGTGGTGCCTGCCTACCCGGGCATGCTGCTTGGCTTTGGTCTTCTTAGTTTGCGTCAGCATTCTGTGTGGTGTTTTGGTTGGCTTCCTTTTCAGCCTTGGCCTTGGCTGCCTCTTGTTCTTTTTTCTTTTGTGCAGTGGCACCGCTGACCTTGACGGCCACACGACGCATCCGGCGGCAGACTTCAGGGCGATCACGATGAAACATTTCGTGGTAGTAGCCTGCAGCGAAGCGGAAGTTCAACAGGGAGCCAGTGAGACAACCATACTTACTTAGTCAATCGCCTACTTGAACAATGCAAAAATTTGACTTACCGCCACGGAAGGGGCCGATGTTGATTTGTTCAAATCCATAGAGATTCAGTTGACGCTTGAAAGATGACAAACGCGAGTGACGAAAGTACAAGGGTACAATCTCTTTGAAGAAAGTATCTGCGCAGGTCAAAGGCAAGTGCAATAGTCAAAAGGGTTAGTCAAGAGGAAGAGGGCACGGGAAGCAACTGTGGAATGTCCCAACCATCGCCCTAGAGGCTCACCTGGCTTGTGAATGGCAAAGCCTCTTCCATTGTTGATGAAAGAGATGACATCAACTCTTCCGCACTGTTCCACTTCCATCAACATTCGGTGCAATTTTTCTGCAAGGCAAAAGACACTGGGCTGTGAGACGACTCTTTCAGGCAAGGCAAGGTTATACATACACGACGCGTTTCGTACCTGGAAATGGTTCAATAGCCCCGACCCGCATCAAGGGGCCGCGATTGGCCATGATGTGGCTTGAGATAGTAGTGGCCTGATGTGACAGTTGCTGTTGCTGAAGCAGCTGCTGTTGGCTTAGGGTCATGGTGGATGCCAGGGAGTTATTGGCATTGTTCTCCGATAGCATGTTGGCAGCCATGGCACGGCTGCTGGCAAAGGGCGGCAAGGGATTGGCCATGGAGCTCATGGGGGTCGTCATGGTGGGCCCGGTTGACACGGGGGAGTTTGTGATAGCGTTGCCATTGGATGTGTTGAGACGGATCTGACGTTGGAGGAGCATCAGACGAGTTTCATCCTGTTCTTTCTGCTGTTGTTGCTGGGCTGCCAAGAACGATGCCAGTGCTGGGTTAGTGACAAAGCAGGCACCGGAGGCGTTGGCTGATGCAACATTGGAGTTCATGTTGTTCATCGAGACCATGCCATTGTTACTCATGGAAGAAAGACTTGACAGTTCATTGGACATGCCATTGTTGCCAATACCGTTGTTGGTGCTGGATGAAGTGAGGAGGCTGGTTGCCCCTCCTGATGGATTGGGGAAGCTGCATGCAGCAGTGGCAGCTCGGAGGCGCTGCAACTGCTGAAGGCGCTTGATCTCCTCCTGCATGCGGGCAGCGGTGGAAGAAGGAAACATGTTGGTGGAGTTGTGTGATGCCATTGTGTCTGTGCTTGCTTGGAGCTTGCAATGGGGAAGCTTTGATGATCGTGGGTCGTTTAGGAATTGACAAGTTGATCTTTGTGGGAGCAGATGGTGCAAGGTGCGAATGAATGGTTTTGCAGGTTCTTCTTTTTCTGCTGTTCAGTTGTTTTAGAAAAAAGAAATTATGGAAGAATGTGCGAATGTGGTTTGTGGGTTTTTAGAGCCTACCCTTTGTTTATCCCTACTTCGCTGATGACCCGAAGCGGACCGACGAAAGCGAAGGCTGTTGTGCACTGAATTATGGTGCTGGAGAAATGTTGTTTGAATGAAAGAATGTAACTGTTCCTTTAGACGGTCAACACTTGGTCAACCTAGCTGTCAACCTACAAACCAATAATGCCTCCACCTAGCCAGTACTGGGCCGGTACCAGCAGCAAATTTACTAGCTACTCCTAGATTTGATAGTAGCTAGGCTCAAACCTGTCTGTTGGTTGGATGTTGGATGGATAAAACAGTGCTTGCAAAGTTGGGTGGGTGCTCTACTCATAGTATGCAAGGTGGGTCTTGCTGCTGGTCAAAGCAAGAAACAAAGAGCTCCAGCAAAATGGTTAGACTCGACGGTACTGGCTTGAGAGAGTCCAGGAGGTGGGCAGTGGATAAGATGTCAACTGACCCTGATCCACGGCAACGGAGCTTCCTCTGGGAGCGAAGGGCTTCGCAAACTTGAACGTTTCCTACTGTATAGCAAAAATAGTTAAGGCGTAGAAGCCGAAGGTTGATGACTGCTTCTTTTTTCTGTTCCTCGGGGTCTTCACTGGGAGAATCTGTGTAATATATCTATCAGGCTTTCCAAAAAGCAAGAGAAATGCCTCCTCTAAAATCTGTGATGTTGACAAGCTCTTGGTCGTTCTTGTCTTTTTGATTTTTGATGCTTTAATTGGGGCACCGAATGACCTCACACAGTGTTCTTCCTTGATAATTCTTTTACCTCCGGAAAAGATGGCGAAAATGGGATCTTTAAGTCGCTAATTCAGAACGACTGTTCTTCAGGGAAGTCAGGCGACGCAATACTGTTCTTTGCGGTGGAATGTTCGTGGTGAGGACCACGGGGCCTCCCTCCCAGTTAAAAGCAGCTCGTGGGAGTGAGGGCAGTACCGTACTCTGAGTCAGTGGAATGGATAGATCGACCACCCTCCATTTCTCTAGTAGAGCCGAAATAGAAGACTGGTACCGTATGGTGGCTATGCTACTAGCAACTAGTTAGTTACTGTAGCAGCCTGAATGGTTGACCACTGGAATCTCTTCTCTCCCCAACATTGCAGTCGTACGATGTGGCGTGTAAGAGCTGGGTGAGTATTCTCCCGATTGGTAGGTTGTTCACGGTTGGTTGGTTGTTTTAAGGAGCTTGGCTTGGACTTCACGAAAGCAGGCGTCGCTTGGGCGACCCACGAGTCTCCATGACATAGGGAGTGCGAAGCTTCCATTCTTTTCCATTGGAATTGCGGAAGCCAAGAGCCAAGTGGCGCCTGGTGAGAAGCCAATTTTAAAGGATAAAGGACGCTTATAGTATCTCAGTATGTCTCTCCTCATCACTCCACCTCTTCAACAACATACAACATACTCTTGAGTACTACTCCAAGTACGCACTCGCTGAGTAGAGACGATGAGAAGGCAAGCATGCAATAGTTTACTTATACTGGGCTAGAAGACATTGTGTGTTCCAGGTTTTGATGGCTGCTGTAAAATAAATTGTAAATAATGGTGGTAATTGCATTCTGCGGCGGCTTCTGCGACGGTTCCATGGTGGCTACATGCATTGAACTTATCACATATTGTTTTGGGTTGTCCGAGCAGAAGTTTCGTTGCAAAATATTGAACATTCATCAGCATATTATGGTTTGTGTGGGGTGACAGTCGAGTGTGGCGTGGGAGTGTGCATGCCGCACAAGGAGAAGCTTCTCGCTTGATAAGAGGTACCAAGAAAAAGAAGCACAAGTCAAAGCTCCCTTGAACCAAAGAAGCAGACCTCTAGACGAGAAAAGTGCGAAGAAAGAAGCCATGGTGGTGGTTGGTAAATAATATTATGCAGAGGTGGTAGCTATTTCAAGACCAGCTGACTGCAGACGACTTCTTCTATCCTGAGATGGGTAAGATTGCCAAACCCGGGTGGCTAACTCAACCAAAGCTCCGGTGCCCCAGGGCTGGTTTGTTGGTTTCCCAGACCAACAGAAACCAGAAACAGCCGGCTTCTCACTGGCCAATCGGCTTTATTTCTTCTTCTCTAGTCTCCAGCCAAAGTATTAATCTTTCTCTTCTCAGGAAACAGAACGCAAAAGAAGCTCAGCAACGGCAACGACGAACCCCATCAACACAATCGTACTATGGTATCTTCCTTTACGGCAGGCTCAAGTTCTTTTTGTTCACCTAGCTAAAGAAACATCTCTCTCGAAAGATCAATCATTCAACCGCTGGCGCTTGCAGCCACCTGCTGCCGGAGGACAAGGGCCACTACCCCCGGTATCTGGCCGGTAATCGTAAAGAAAACGAGTAAACAGAGATAGAGTCTTGTCGTCTTGGAAGCCTGACAAGGAATCCACGTAGCTCAATGTGCGCACTATCAGCAAGGAATGATCGAGTGGCTGGCTGGTGGAAATGGCAGTTCTGCGTAGCTTCACAAGTGAACTGCACTGGCTAGTTGCTTTGATGTATTTCTGGCCAACATTCTACCTGGTAGCTTCAAAAGGGTTGTCATACTGAACCTGATCGGTTAGGTTTGAACATCTCCTCCCACTAGACTACCGGTACTCCGTTAAGAAATGATCACGGCACGGCACGCACCATTTCTGCATTTGCTTGGAAGCCGGATCTTTGGGCTTATTGATCCCACGCGCCCTCCAAGGTTAGTCGTGCTTGCATTGGATCCCAGATCGAATGGTGCAATCGGAACACCCAACCCAGCTCGAGCCAAAAACGATCACGTTAGAAACCGTTTCTATGCAGTGTTGTCACGAGCCCACAACCAAGCATGATGCTGCTTGTTCGCAGCCCAAAGGTTCCAACTTGGAGAGCTCATAAACGAAACAAACAAACAAGAAACAAACCATCGAACGAAAGTAACAAGTCGAGACCAATCCAGCGCCACAATGAAAATAGCGAACAGTTTTGTGTGTTACTCACTGAACAACATAGGCAAAATAGATGTGGAGCCCGCCCTTTCTGCACAAGACCAACGTGTCCCCAGTAGGGTTGCTCTGGCTGAGGAGATTTCAAAAAGAATAAAAGAGGGACTGGCAAAAGAATTAGGCGTGACTACGGATGCCACCGACAAAATTAATCCATTGATCCTGAAGGTTAGAACGGTGCGATGCACAAAGGGTAGTCGATGGGGTAGAGTCTTTTGTGGTGAATTCGGCGTGGGGTGGGCTCTTCTGTTTCTCGAGTGGTATATTATGGATGCTACAACCGGAGAGGTAGTCTTCGGAGCCAAGACAGAGAAGTACAGGCACCATGGCTCGTTTTTCGGTGTTGCCGACATCTGTGAACCAGACGTTGGAGAGAAGGCCGTGTACGAAATGGCTTCCATGGAAGGCATTCCAAGGATCGCCATGAACGTGGAAGCGGCATTTCGAAACCATGGAGCGAGAGAGATTTCCTGGTAACGGTGTTGTCAGCAACCGTTGTTAGAGCTTTATTAAAATACGACATTGTACAGTATTAGTGGATCTGCATATGTAGAACAGTAGAACAAAGCTTATCATACTAAGATAAGAGCACCTTTACGATACGATAGTGTTGTCTGCTGAGCAGCGCCTCGGCCAAAACAATGATGAATTCGGAGGACCGGTCCCAGCTTCATTGTTGCGTCATATTCGTTACTAAGTGAGTCTTGGGATGTCTACCCAGGAGCACCAAGCAAAGAAACAACAGAGCAACATCACACTGAACCTGACAAGCGGACACTGAACCACGAAGACAGAAGAGTGGCAGGATTTCGGAGACGTCGGCAAGAAGGAGTGACTTCCAAGATGAGCACCGAGCCCATCTTTTTGGAAGAGGGATTCCAGCCTTTGCATCAGGATGTGATTGTAGGCCGTCTCAAGACGGCGACGCCGCACCTTGGCAATAATTTTCTGAACGATATCACCCAGTCCTATCTGGAAGAGTACAAGCAGTCAGAGAGGAACCGCAAGAGCCAGATTCTAGCGGAGATTTATGATCGAATTTGTAGCGTCAATGGCGGTCGATTTGTAAAGCTGGATACCAAGACCAAGAGATGGTTTGTTTGTACCAAGTCAGTGGCTCGCGAGAGAATTTCACAAGGATTCAGAGACAGCCTAAAGGACTTTTACAAATCCAGTCTGTCGCACAAGCAAAAGCGCCGCATGGTGAAAAATGGGGTCTTGCCGGCCGATGATCCGACATTGGAAATCATGTCGCCGCCTCCATCCAAGCGATCCAAACTCCACGCTCACCCTGAAGATCATGAGCCGATCCAAACGATACAGGCGACAGCAGTTGAGGGAATCGGAACGGATGCAACCACAAACCCGGTCCTATCGGTACTAGTAGTGGGCCGGGATGAAACAATAGTCAACAACGAAGAACTGGGAAATACTAGTAGAAATAATACCGCCAGGGATGGTGGGGAGCACTTTGAAGGTAACGGGAAGCGTTCAGCTAGTCTTCTTCCAAGGGATGGGATCATACTAATGGATGAAGGATTCGAGCCACACAAGAACGACGTTATTGTTGGTTTGAGAAAGAAATCGGCAGAACACCCAGGGAACATTCATCTCGTAGAGGTGGTCCAGAAGTTCCTGGGAGCGTACAGGCAATGCGGCCAAAACAAGAGCAAAAAGTCAGATGTGTTGAACCAGGTAGCGAATACCTTGAACACAGGACATCACCCCCCCGCTCGATTTGTCCGATTTGATTTCAAGCACCAGCGATGGTACGAAATTGAATCCTTTTATGCCAGAGAAAAGATAGGCCAGACGTTCCGAGACATCCTAAAGGATGGTTACAGGTCGAGCAACACTTTCAAGAACCTCAAACGACGCAAATCTTACACGGGGCAATCCAAAGCTGATGTCTTTGTCAAAAAGGGCGACCACAACATGGATATGGTTGAGCGTGGAGGAGAAGCAAAAACAATGCCTCTTTACACGGTTGCAGCAGTTCCACAGGAAAGCACCGACTCTGCGAGATGTCCGATTGCACCAATCAACGGCGCCAACGAGAAGGTGGACGAAACAGCGCCATCCATCCCATCGCAGTTGGATGAACCAGTAGCCCGGCCGTCTTCGGAACAAAATGCGTCTCTGTCTGCTGCCAACGGTATCCCGGCACCGCCAAAGCACTTATCCAAAAAAGAGCAACTGAAATGGCAAATTCGTGAGTTACAGAAGCAGCTAGCACAACTAGAAGAGGACGAGAGGAAGGGGCAAAGTGGTGACACGGGAGCAGGTACAGCAGCTTCAGAAGAACCCGTTGCGGCAGAAACTCATGGGGACAAGGAGGATACCAACGAAATTGGCGAAACAATCGATAGCGCAGTGGCCATGGCCACGGAAGGCTACCACTACGAAGACGGTGACCTGTTCTTGGGCGGGGAACCGGGGAGTGTGAGTGGTGAAATTGAAGCGACCGAAGAAGGCACTTTGGATATGGAGCCAAGCCAGGTTGACGACAATTTGGAGAGAGAGAACGTGATTGGCTGCCAACCTGAACTCACTATGCCAGAGAGCAGCATGCCAAATAGCACAGCCATCTAATGCTAGCTAGTGATTTTTAAATAATGCGTGCTAAGCTATAGTATTATTGCATATCCAAAGACCCGGGAAATGACGAACAGGAGGATAGTAGGCTTTTCGAATGTGGAAGACACGTAAGGAAAAGATCAAACAACCCATGGCGACAAGTCCCTTTCTTCACGGTTCCAGCTTTGGACGTGTCGGAACTGCTGTTTCCTTCATGGCTTGTTGTTGTTGCTGCTGCTGGATTTCATTATTGGCACTTGCCATGAACATGGCGTTGTAGTTGGCCTGAGCGGCGGCTGTGGCTGGTCCCGCCATCAAGTTGGCCAGGGAAGGATTCATCATGGAAGACATCATGTTGGGGTTGCCGAATCCGTGCAAAAGCCCCGGGGAATAGTATGGAGACATGCCTACTCCCAAGCCAGGCAATGCGGAGATGCCAGGATGGGGCAACATTTGCTTATTTGCCGTGAAGTTGGCAGCCATCAGGAGGGCATCAACACGAGCCTGAGCTTCAGGAATCTCCTGCTGATCAACCTTGTTGGTGCCATCCGACGAGCTGCCTCCTTTGGATCCCGTGCTGGTCTGCCTGTTAATTCTCTGCTGGCGCCTCTTTAGGGTCTTGGAGGTAGTGCTGGACTTGTAGCGATCGTTGAGAGCATCACGGAATGTCTGTGATACCTTCTCTCGGGCAATTCGATCTGCCACAATGAACCATCGGCCGCTCTCATTATCAAACTTGATAAAGCCACCATCTGGGCTCTCATCTCGAATTTGGCTCATGATGCTCTTGATCAATTCTGATTTGGATTTCTTGGTAGCACCACTTGCGGAGTAGGTTCCAAGAGCACTTCTGACAATTTCAGTAAGGCGTCGATTTCCAGCGTGCTTGTAGCAGACCTGTCACACCGAAACGAGAAGCGTCGTGAGGATGATCTCGTTCTTTTGGTGCGTCCGGTTGGTACCAGACTGAAGCACTCTCAAAGGGGCTACCTACCTTGCCTCTCCCCACCATCACATCCTTATCTCCTGGCGTGAAGCCAGCCGGTAGAATTGTTTCCGTCGTCATGGTGAGAGATTTTCGTTGGTTAGTTTGCACTTTGCTGTGATGTTTTGTTTCGCTTGATCCTTGCCAGGTCTTTTTGTTTTATGTGAGCAAGCGAGAAGGTGACAAGGAGAGGTCAAGGAGACAAGGAGACAAAGAAAGTGCTCAGCAATACACGCGATCTATGTACCGGTACGAATAAACGGGGTCTATGTGGGCGACGTTGCAGTTTGAGAAAGAGAAGGAGCGAAAAGCTCTCCTCGATTCAAGTGGTCTTACCTGTATAGATTCTGTGTAAGTATCATATACATTTGTTGAAACGTATGATATTTGTATTATATTTGTCAACATATCAAGCCAAAACATTCTCATTTGATTCAATAGAGAAATTATTTAAACAGTTCCAAGGACGTAATCTGAAAAGAGCAAGTCAAGGTACGGCCTACTGAGTTCTACTTACGGTACCTAACCAGGACATTCGCTGGGACAAGGCAGCACCTATTGTCGTGAGAGTAAACTGGCGATTTATTGTCATGCAATGTTTGACACACTTGCCGCGAATATTAGGTAACGGTAACTCTAACTTTACGGCATGAAGAAAAAAAAAGAAAAAGAGGGGGGATGACAGACGAAGGAATATGACGTTTGGAAGTCATTTCTCCCCACAATTTTTTATGATGACAGCCCGAAAGCAACCCACCCAATGACATGGGATGACGCCGTCATTCTACACTATTTGTATAGTGGTGTTATTTAGCCGTTTCATAGTCTTAACGCAATCCGGGCCCTCGGCTTGCGGTGGGTATCATTCCTAATCCTCAGCAGGCAAACCTGAGTTCCCGACGCAGGCCGCCATGATCTTTCAAATTGTTTTTTTGTCTGCGTCCAATGCACCAACAAGAATGGATAGATAGTACATGTACCATAGCAACGTAATGGTAGGGCTAGTCAGTTTGTATCACCTTCGATACTAGTATCGTTGGCTCATATTGTGCATTGTTTGTCAATTATTGCTTTATCATTTTGCTTGTTGTTTGTTTTTGACTTCGTAGCTTCCTCCATAGCAATGTGGATGCAGGCACGAGCTACTAGAGCTGGCGGTGGTGGTGGCCGTAACACCAAAAAGCCAAAGTTTGGAAGAGCACAGGGCGACTGGATATCCAAAGTGCAGAATGAAGTTGCAAGTGCTGGGGCTACGTTCCTCAAAGGAAAGGATTGGACTAATCTAGCTCCACAATCTCCACTGAATGTTTGCCTCGCAAATCAAGATGTCAAGCTTTACGCAGACAGGTACACCGTAAGAGCTGTTGCTTGTTGGGTGCCTCATGTGCTGGTTCCGAACCATCTTCCCAGTTGCCCCACATGTGGCGACCACAACGGCATTGCACCCAACCCAACCTTTGATTGGGTTGCCAATCCCAAGGTTCTGTATGGTGTTCGATCTCGCCGATATCTGACTACCATTTACTACAAGTGCGAGAAGTGCAAGGGCAAGTTCACGGGCTACAATGAAAAGTCGTTGGAGATTGATTCGAACAAGATAATGGGCATCTTCAACTTCTACGTGTCTAAGGGCCTTGCTGTGGATGACGAGTTGCACAGTTTCATTGTGAACCATTCCATGGATACCACCGCTTCGATTTACGAGAAGCTTGCGCAGCTTCAAGCTGACCAGTATTTGGACGCATCACTCCAGTACTATCGAGCTGTTATGGAAAAGAAAGTCGCAAACAGGCCCAAGGGAGGTGTCATTGCTGGAACCAATCAGCGGACAATCGACTCAATGATGACATTTACAGCTCCCTTGAACCCTGCTCAGAAAAGGCGACGCACTCTTCGATCTGAAGTTGATCGCTGCAGGTCGCGATTGGACAGTGCCATCGCCAAAGCTGACGGTGACGTGGATTTCGTCGAGCTTTTGAAGAGGAAGTCAAATCGGAATAACAATCTTGGCGAGATATTCAAAGGCATTGGAAAAAAGAAGATTCTAGACATGATGGGAGCTGGTGTTTTCTCTGCTAGACAAATGCTAGCATTTAATGATTTTGATTCATTTCCAGAGGTAAAGCCACAGTGGAAGACGACGATTGAAGAACACTACCACGGACTGCGAGAAGAAGTGGAAGTCGCCTCAGCACGACTTCAGAATGCTCGTCACGTGTTGGACGATCATGACCTCAGCATTGCACTTTTGGAGACCCCGGTTGATATCGACGACACTAGTGACATCAACATTGGTAATGTGGTTCCCCAGGATGAACCGGAAGAAAAGCTTCCAGCGTTCTCAGACATCATGGATCCAAACGGCTGGAACGTCCATTGTCCCTCCAAGTCCACCATCGATCGAGTCACAGCCACGTATTTTGCCAGTCGGAAAGAGGTACAGGTGGCAAAGATGCAAAGCCATGGTGCAGAGGTGGTTAAAATCGATTGGACCTACAAGATTGCTCCAAAGATAAAGGTTTACACGGGACGTGGAGAATGCTATGCTCCCCACAAGACGTGCATGACTGTATTCAATGAAAACGGCATCTGCATCTTTTTCAAGTTTTATCCTGGCAGTGAATCTTACGGGCAGCATGGAGCTCGTCCTGACCTTGAACGTCTCAAGCAGCGCTGTGAATCCCTGGACACAACAGTCAAGGTGGTTTATGTTGACAATTGTTGTCAGGTGCGTAATCAATTGACTGGCGAAAATGGAATCTTTCCTGGTGCGCTGTGCAAACTTGACTCCTGGCATTGGCTAGAACGTTGGCACAAGATATTCGAGAAGAATTCAAAGGAGCTGGGGATGTCATTGGTTCGACGGGCTCTGTTCTTTACCGAGAAAGGCGAGATTGACCGTGCAATCAAGAAACTACAGAAAAAGTACGGCGTTGGTGATCGTCCGCCAATGAAGGAGATCATGAAGGAAGCCAAGGCTATCATTCCTCCCAAAGCAGAATTGCAGAAGCGCGTCCAAGCTGTTTTGAGTTACATGCTCCACCATGATTGGTCACTTGACGCAGAAGCAGCCGAACTGAATCTGTCTGAAGAAGGCAACAATGACGGGGCTGCTCCAATGGCAGTTGAAGATACTGCCAAACGTCACCGTTTCTTTATCCGAAACTCGGCTTTGGTTTCCACTACTATCAAGAATCAGATGAGCCACGTGAAGCTTGGTTGTCTGTCGGATCCACCAAAAGAAATCCTCAACATCCATTTGGTCAATCCCTACAGCAATAAGGCCTTCACTGTCCGTTCTACAGGAATTAACGAGGTGGACAATCGTGCCTTGAATCGCCTGTTCGACATTCCCTCTGTTGGCATTGCACGAGCTGACCGGATGTTCTGGGAGCATTATGAGCGTAGCAACGAGAGGAAGGCTGTTAAACGTCTTGGACAGAAGGCAGACATCACCACCAAGACCGAGAAGCTGTACTATCTGAACTCGATGGCCAAAGAAGCAGGTTTTGTTGAGGCAGATCTCCCTTTCAAAGTGTCCTACCCACCAAAGTCTACGGTAAAGGAGTTCCTTGGTCTTAACTACAAGCTACCCACCTGCTTCGATGAACCGGTTGATGACCAAGACTCTCAGCGCGACTTTCACGATTTCCTTGCAGGTGTTGGATTCCTTGAAAATGATATCCCTTCTGAGTTGGAGGGAGGTACAGAAAATGGTACAGAGGCCCAAGATGTGGCACAGAATGATGCAGCTGTCGAGGAAATCTTGGCTGACCCAGAAATGGATCTTACGCCGCTTGCTTTGGATGTGGAGGGTGTTGCTCGAGAGGTCAGGATGCATCTTCCTTCCATTAACTTGAATGAAACAACCATGCAGACCTTCACGAGACTCACTGAAAAAGCTCCCTGGGTTCCATTTTCCAACCCAACAGATCGAACATCAACTGCTGTTGATGTTGCTGAGTTCGCGTTGTTTGAGGAGCTTCGAAGTAAGTTTGATCGCCACGGTGGGCTGTACGGAGCCCGTGGATATCATTCCTTTGCAAGACGCTGGGATATGGAGGTCGCCAAAGTGTTTAATGCAAGGATTGAAGCAATTGGGAATGGATTAACGCCCCCTCCTCTCATTTGCCGAAAGACTTATCAGCACCTTCAGGAGCACTACGACCGCTGCAACAACGCTGTGGGAATAGCCTTATTAGCAAATCCAAATGATCCCAACAGAGAGGAGATGGAGAGAGCGCTGGCACAAACTCGCAGGACCCTGCCACCACATCAAGAGGCTCGAATGGCAACTGCACCTGGCTTTCGCAATCATGGAATTGCAGATGCCCCCTTTGGAAATCCCACGGTCATGAACACAACAATTGCCGCTGGCGGTATGATGTACACGGAGACAACCAATCCAGCTGCTCCCTACGTTGTTCGTCCTTCAGCACCCATTATGCCTCCTCTGTTGAACCCTCGCGGTTTCAACTTCAAGGATCGACAGTTCTGTGTTAAGTGTGGTTTTTCGAAGAGCGAACACCTTGTTTTGAACACGGTTTTCGGCAACAGCTGCAGCAACAACTGTCTTCGAGAAGAATGCTCGAAGTGTCTTCAGCGTCTGGAGTTTCACAGCATTGGCGAGGTTGGCCCGTACTGTTCCAAAACAGCTTCGCCAAGCGGCAAGTTCAAGAGCTGGTGGAAGGAAGATCCCATTGCCGACAAAGAAAACGGATCTAATATTATTTAAAAGGTACGTGCATTGATACTTCTGTCGACTTACTCTTCAGCAGACGTAACAGCATCGGGAGTCACAGCTATAACACTCTCTTCGCTTTCATTGACAGAATCATTATCAGTGTCATTCTGAGTAGTAGGATTGTGCAATGACATGAGACGGTTGCGAACGAAAATGTTCGAGTTAGTCGCCAAGGAAAAGAAGTCATGAGTTTGTTCGTAGAGATAATCAAAATAGGAATTGCGACAATACCATTGTGGATTGATTAATCTAACGATCTAAGAGATGTAAAGTTTGTATTTCCAAATAAGTGAGCAGTTATTGATTATTTTCTAGAATAAGCCTGCTAATTGTAAGCTGTAAAGCTGAATTGTAAGCTGTATCCCGTCGCACTCCCTTACAGCTGAAATGAAGCTGGAGCAATAAACGATAGGAGAGAGTCCCCAGCAAAGTGCTGAGGTAAATTACCATCCCATGAGGAGCTTCCGATGACAGCAAACTGTGGACCGGAAGACCTTAGTGAAATGTCGGCCCGTTGTTCCAGAGTCGGAATATACTTAGCCACGAGCCCTTCGACTCCCCGATATTGGACCTGAAGAAATGGTACTTCAATGCCAAATACTTGTTGCGCAGACATTTTGGGAACATCACAAGAGACAGGCAACCTTGGTTGTCTTCGAACACTGTAGACGCACGAGACTGTCAGTAATTACCTGCATATTCATTTGTACCAATTCTTTGAGCAAAGCTCGCATGGAAGCAGCTCCCTCATTACATGCTGAAGGCAACATACTCAGCAGCAGTGGAGCTCAAGTAATGTCAGTTGGAGCTTGCTGGACCAGATGTAGGGCACCCAAACAAAGTCAGGACAAATCCAGTGCGAGACTGTGACGGACAC